CTTGTGATTATCCTTCTTTATAACTGAATAGCTTTCCATTGTATAAAAAGGCCCTATCTTTCTTACCCATTTTGCAGTTGATGGGCAACTTACCCGTTTTTTTCTGGCTTCCTGTCACATGGAGCATTTTTTCTCTTGACTTTCATCTATAATTTCCTTTTGAGTTAATGTATTTCTTGTATACAGCATATTGATCAATCTTGTTTCTTGATCTACTCTGTACTTTTTTTTATTGGTGAAGTGAGCTGTCTGCATTAAAGGTTATGGCCAGCACGCACTGGTTCATCTCTGCCCTACTTTTCTCCTGGGTTCAGCTGTGTGTCCCCCTTGGCAATCCCACTCTGCTGCTGTTCCTGGGAACACGGTCATTTTTCTCTCTAGAATATCCTTCAGTACTCTTTGTATGGTTGGGTTGGTGATCATGAATTCCTTCAGTTGCTCTTTGTCATGGAAGCATCTTATTTCTCCCATAAATTTTCAAAGACAGTTTCACAGGGTACAAAAATCGGGGTTGGAAGTTGTTTTCTTTGAGGACTTGAAATGCTTCTCTCTAAACTTTTCTTGACTTGATAATATGTGTTCAGAAGTCTGTCATGATTCTTACAGATGGTGTAAGATGATCTTACAGATCATCTTTACAGATGATCTGTTTCTTTTCTCTAACAGCTTTTCTGTTCTTGTGCTGAATTTCTGGGATCTTGATTATTATATGTCTGGGTGCAGATTTATTTTGGTTATGGCAAGTTTATATGCCTCACTTATTTGTATGTCAGGTCCTTTTCCCATGCTTGGGAAGTTATTTGCTGTTACTTCTGTAAATAGTCTCTTTATGTCATTTGTGCTGACTCCTGTTTTTTCACTAACACCTATCGTTCTTAAATTATTTTTCTGTGCATCATCTTACAGCCATTGAATTGTTATTTCCTGGTTCCTTTTTATTTTTAAGAGATCTTTCCTTTCATGATTGCTAGCTGTCATCCTGTCTTCAAGGTATGAAAGTCTATCTTCAGTTTCTTTCAAGTGTTTCTGTCAGCTTTCGTAAAGTTTTTAGTTTCCTTGCTATCTCTTTGAGTCTGTTGAATGTATTCCAATTCTTCTCTATATTGTTCTTTCAAGGTTTCCCTCCTCTTTTTTTCTCAATGTCTTTAGATACACCCAGCAATTCTCTGCTTGTCATTTCTTCTTTAATCTAAGATATCATTTCTGACCTGCTTTCTTTTATAGCCTGATGAAGTAGTTTCTTTACTTCAGTTGCCATTATCCCAGAAATTTCAGGTGTGCAACTTCCACTTTCTTTCATGTCTGTATCTCCTGGACTTGTTCTGTTTAGAGATCAGAAATTGCCTTTTGCTCCTTCATCTTGAGATTTTCTTGGGTTCCTCCGGATGAGTGGGTTGTGAGATCCCAGGCATTTCCCACATTGGCTACCCACCCACAGTGTAGAAAGATGGGTTAAGTACCTGGGATTCTCTTCACCCAGGAGGTGGTGTGGTGTCAGGTGGGCTTCTCTAGACACTCATGGCTTCTCTTGGCTCTCACTGGCTACTTATGGGATAGTCTCAATGGTGGCCTGCATAAACACAGAAGCTGGGCTGGCTGCTTTTCCCCACCCACAATGGCTACCTGCAGGAGAGTCCATGCTGGGAAGGCCCAAAGATCAGCGGTGAAAGCTAGAAAGTTTATGCCAGCGGGATGAAGGCGCTGTGCTGGTAGGTTGAGGGTCCTACGCTAGAGCCAAAAAGACACTCACAACAAAGACCACGGATGTCCTGAAAAGCACCACAGCCATCCTCAGCAACACGGAGGCCTCAGCTCCTCCAAAAATAAGCACAATCAAGTACATGCCAGGAAGCCAACATGACGAGTTCATCCTGGAGACCAAGTGACACACATCTTTCTCTCCAGAGCCAGGAAGCAATGCTCAATGTGAGGACCAGAGCTTCTCCAGAAGAACCAACAGCTCAAGCAGCAACTTGTAGGAGAACCTTCAATGCCTCAATGCCTCAATGCATTGCTTCTCCTTCTCCATGGCTCTATTTATGCTGGCAACTTTCCTCAGGTGAAACATGTATGCTCAGCAGCATGGTGATTTAATTCCACTGGCATTAAGTTGACCACCAGTTTTTAATCCATAACAAGGTGTTCTTGTACCAGGCTCTCTGAGATACAAATGAAGCACTTCCCACATTTAGATTTATTAATGGTGTTCAATGGTGTTTAGAAGGCTGAACATGTTTTCTGTTGACCCTTTCTATTGATGTTATTATAATATTTGTCAGTATATAGAAGTGTTATGTGTAAGTGGCTGCACATGTCTACAATTTTATACTAGACATTGGTTCATGCGTGTAATCCCAGCACTCTGAGAGGCTAAGGCAGGAGGATTAAAAGTCTGATCCCAGCCAGGGCAGCTTAGTGATTTAGCAAGATCCTGTGTCAAAATTTAAAGTTTTTTCAAAGGGCTGGGAATATAGCTCAGTGTGAAGGGCCTGAGTTCAACACTCAGCCTCCCAAGTAATTGAGATTATAGACATGAACCACCATGCTCAGTTATCACATGTGGCTGGTGATTAGCATATTACAGAGTGCAAATATACAATATTTCCTTCATTGCAGAGTTCTGCAGAGATGACCTATACCACAAAACAAATCTGAACAAATTTCAAAAGAACAATTATCATGTAGATCATATTACCAGCACATAACTTCACATTAGAAATCAATAACAAAATAACTTTATTATTTTTAAATTATATTTCCAAATAATTCACATGTTAAAGAAACAAATCAATTGGGACATTTGATATATTAATACTGAAAGAAAAAAAAGTATGGAAAACCACTAAAGCATTATTGAAAGAGAAACTGTGGGGGCTGGGGATTTAGCTCAGTGGCGTAAGTGCCTGCCTTGAAAGCAGGCAGTCGTGGGTTGATCCCGGTACTGATAAAAAAGAAAAAAACAAAACAAACAAACAACAACAAAAAAAAAAAAACAAGAAAGAAACAGAAACTGTGGCCTTAAATACTTACATAAAAATGATCTTTTAAATAAACCTTTAGAAAAACATACCTTACCAATAACTGACCAAGAAGTAGTCTAGGTGCTCCTATATTCAATAAAGGAATAGAATTAGTAACAAAATATCCTCCCACTTTAGAAAGCACTAGATAGTTTTCCAAGCAAGTCTGAAAGAACATTTTAGGCACAAGTAATTTCAGTCCTACATAAACTCTTCTAAGAAAAGAAAACCAAGAAATAATTCCTAACTCATTTATAAGGCTGGCCTAACTGAACCATCAATATCAAACAGACCATAATAAATGATACATCAAATCATTCATAAACATAGATGCAAACATCTTAAATAAAAGTTTGCAAAATAATCCAGCAATTAATAAAAAATAACATCAGATCAAACTGAGTTTATCACAGGGACACAAGAGTGACTTAACATTAAGCAATCCACTAGTATAATGTACCGTATTATCTAGTTAAGAAAAACTATGAGATCATCTTTATAAATAAAGAAGATAAATCAACATCTATTATAATAATTTTCACAAGCTGGTAGAAAAAGGATTTTCATTAAACTCAAATGTCCATATACCATGATCATTTGATAAAGTTGAATATATATTAAAAAGAATACGAAGGAATTCATAAAAGACATATCAAAAGCCTACAGCAAAAAAAAAAAACCCATATTTTTAAGGGTTATCATTAAAATCATTTTCTTAAAAATCAGAAGAATGCCTGGCATCAGTACATTTAGTTACTATTTCCCTGAATATTCTAGAGTTCAGTAAGAAAAGAAAATGAGAAAAGGTTTGAGGATTAAAAAGGCACAAATAAAATTATCATTATTTGTAGATGATAGTTTGTCTAGAAAACAAAAAAGTTAAAAATAGATAAAAGCAACTGAAAATAGAATTATACTAGTATTCATTGAATCAGTTAAGATTTCTCAATGATTAATATGTAAAAATCATTTCCACTCATTAGTCATACACACTTATGCATATAATTTTCAAATATAACTTATAAGACTAACAAATATGCTCAAATGAACTATGTTCATGGATATGAAAGCAACATATATTAAATTTATCTATAAAGTCAATATACTTTCAATTAATATTTTAAATAGAATGTTTTTAGGAATGTGACAACAGGAACCCAGCTTGTGTTACCATAACTTGACAGTTATGTTATTGTTGGTATTTCAAATTATAACATGAGTTGGTGATGGAAACTTCGTAGTTGGTACTGAGTCACTAGAAAGGGAGCAGCTTCGACGCAGGCGTGACACATTTCAATAAAAAGTACTTGGCCATAGAGGCATGGCGGTCCACGTCGGTAATCTGAGTTACTTGGGAGGCTGTGGCAGGACGATAACAAATTCCAACCCATTCCGAGCAATTTGGCAAGTTTTTGTCCAAATAAATAAATAAATGCAAGGCCTGGGGATGTAGCTCAGTGGTGCCATGATGGCCCACTAAGTGCGAGCTCCTGGGTTCAAGGCCCAGTACCGAGACTAGGGGTGGGGCAGTGGGGGAAGTACGTGGCGCAAACTCACCGAGTCAGCCTACTTCGGGATTTCCCGGAGCCACGTGTTACTCCCTCCTTTCCCCCATTACAGCTTTGTCTCTTAACATGTGCGCGTCCCTTTTGACGCATTTCCGACCGGCCCCACGGAGCGCGGGCCCTTGGTTCCGGAGCGGCGGCCTGCAGCTGCCGGTGACAACGCCCTGGCTCGCCAGCTCCGGCCGCCGCCCCTCTAAACTTCCGCGACGCTTTCGCAATCTGGTCAAAATTCTCAACTCTGTACCACCATGACCACATCAATCTGCCCAACCTCGGACTTCAAAACGACAAATCCTCCGGGGACTCGATTCCGTAAAAATCAAAGAGCACCACGAAAGCAGGCGGCCAGCGACTAAGGTCCTAGTTTCCCACCGGCCTGGGATAGACTGCGGGGCACCGCGGGGCCGCTGGGGCCACGCCTATCTCTGACGTCACGAAGCGCGCCGGGCAGCGACTGCTGGACTTCGGTCGTCATCTGGGTGCGCCGGCCTGGCCGTTGCTTATCAGTTGCTAGGGGCAGGCTACAGCCGAGTCGCTCTGTCAGGATCATGCCTGACAGGAACAGATTTCCAGGGCAGCTGAGGCCACTAGGCTTGGATGAAAGAAGCAGGACAGATGCAAAATCTGGAGAGCGAGGGAGCTGGGCGATCAGTCAGTACCCAGACGGGCAGCATGACGGGTGAGTGCCTGCGACCCTGCTTCTCCCCTACGCGCCCCCCGCCGTTGAGCTCCGGGGTCTCTGCCTTCCCCACTTCGTCTGCCCTGCGGTTCCTCGGTGGCTCATCCTCCGCCATGGTGACTTCCCCTCAGAGATATTATCTGCCCCGCCCCACCCACTTTCTAGATACTTGGAATTGAACCCTGAGTTACATTCCTACTTTTTTTTTTTAAGATTCGGGGAGCGGCGTCTCTCAAAATTGCCCAGGCTGGGCTCGAACTCGCCTGCCTCAGCCTCCCGGATTGCTGGGCTTCCCGGCAGGCGCCACCGCGCCGGGCTACTCCGGCTCTTAAAAGTATTCGTTGCCTCCCGTTACTGTTCCTTGAGTGACCGAGAGCAGACGTCTCGGGGTTAAAGAACCTAAAGATTTCTTCAAGTCATGCTTTCGCCTTAATTTCCAAGTCAAAGGCACATGACACTTCACGGTGGAAGCATTTTTAGGCAGTGTTCCTCATCTCTGCCTTTGTAACAACGCCTGAACAAAAACCAAAGATAAGCTTGCACCACCACGACGTCAGAAGCGAGGGCTTTTCCCCCACATTCTTTGGGTCGTTTCCATAGCTACAGACATCGGTTGTGTTATTTTTTTCTGTCAGGTGAGGACCGGAAAAAGGGCCTAACTTTGCAAGTGCCTCTGGAGGTCACTGCCAGGGAGACTGTGAAGTCTGCTACTAAAAGCTGTGATTCTCATCTGCTGGTCCATTTTCTCTTTTCTCTGCTAAAGCTGCGGAACTAAAACTGCAGCATCCGACTGACTTTAATTGCTCTTTTCATCATCATTAAAATTTAAAGTATTTGGCCTCTCTTTTACAGGTCAAATACCAAGGCTTTCTAAAGTCAACCTCTTCACTCTGCTCAGTCTGTGGATGGAACTCTTCCCAGGAGTAGAGGCCCAAAGGCAAAAATCTCAGGTATAATTTGTTTTCACAGTTTTTACCTTAGAAAACCAGTGACCTGAAATTCGATTTTATTGTTTTAGTTGCAGTCACACTGAAAACTTCGGCAAACCCTAAGTTTTTTTTTTTTTTAGTAAATTTTTTTTTGGTACTGGAATCAGACTTACAACTTCATGCTTGCCAGGCAGCGCATGTGCCACTGAGCTAAACCCCTGCTTTAAACCGTAGGTTTCAGAAAAACCTTTGTTGTTTACTGTGATTCTTGTAACTCACAGTGCTAATAGCTCATCTTTCCAATCTAAAAATAGAGTAGTCATTCAGACTGTGTCATGTTTATTAGATGTGTTCTATTTGTATGTTAGGCCAATAAGATTATTGTCAATACCACATAATTTATTACCCAATTATATGTTGGTATTTTATCGAAGTCATTTTCCTGCTTGTGTGACCTGTATTTTGCTTTTGGGGGGGTACTGGGGTTTGAACTCACAACCTCACACTTGGCAGGCAAGCTTTTGCACCAATGAGCTAAATCCCCAACCCCTTCAGTGACCTGTAAATTGCTTAAAGTTAGGGACCATATCTCATGTATCTTAGTATCCCCTTTAAAATCTTTTATTAACAGTTAACTTACTGATACTAATTGGTTTCTTCTTTTATGTAAGTCCTTTTTTTACTCTCAGATGATCAAAGCAATTTAGAAGTATATTAAGAATAATCATACACACTGGCAAGCACAAGGCCTGTGTTCAATTCCTATTACCAAAAAAATAAAAAATAATCATAAAAACTAATATATCAGAAGTGTAGCATCTCTTTATTTCTTTACCATTTCCTGTGGTATAGTTTTTCCAGTTTAACTGCATATAGAATATGAGCACCAACCATATATAATTGGGTGATAAATTATATGGTATTGGCAATAATCTTATTGCCTTACCAATGTATAAATACCATATACATAATTAACATGGCAGTCTAGGAGAATGACATCTGTTTTAAATTGGAAAAATGAGTTATTACTACTGTGAATTACAAATATTAGGAGAAAAAATGTTTTTAAGCTAAAGTAATAAGATTATTTCACTTCAATTCTGCATTCCACTTTTGCTATACAGAGTAAGTCACTAAAATTTCAAGATGCAGTTTGATGTATATAGTAATTGTGTTGGAAATATTGCTTTTGACATTTTTACCAACATTTTGTTTTTTAAAAAGTGTTTATAAGTTACCAAAATAATGTATGCCCATTATTTGAAAAGTGTGCAAAATAATTCTTCATATTTTTACCATCTAAAGACTAACCTTTTTGTATTATCAATGTTTATTTCCTTTACTCATTTGAGAACATTTAATTTTAGAGCCTACCCTTTTCAGCTAACATAAGAAAATACATATATTGCAATATTATAAACATTAAGGCAGCAATTTAATCTAGGGCTGTAAAGATAGCCAGTTTTTCTTTTGTTGTTGTTTGTTTGTTTATTTGTTTGTTTTTTGGTTTTGAAGCCAGTTTGCCTAGGTTCAATTCTTGGCTTTTATCTCCTACAGATTGTGTAATTTGTGGTAAGTTGCTTTATTTCTGTGGTAACTTTGTTATTGCACTCGTACATACTACATGAAATGTTTATGAGCAGGGAATGAATTAATATGTATAAAACTCCAAAGTGCCTGTGCTTTGTGCTCTGTGTTAGGATTTAATAAATTAAAGGTGTATTAGTGGTCTATCTATTCTTTTACTGGATATTTAAATTGTAATTTTTGCAAATCTGAGTGTATTATAATCACTTCCAAATATAGCTGAGTTTTTCTGTTATCAAATATTTACACTGTTTGGGTACTCTTTAAGGATTCTTCATAGTATACATTAAGTATAAAACTAAAATATTCTAGCTGGGTGTGGTCTTGTGTACGTGGTACCTAGCAGGCTGAGGCAGAGAGACTGTCATGAGTTTAAGGCCAGTCTGGGCTACAGAGTGAGTTCAAGGTCAGCCTGAACTACATAATGAGACCTGTCTCAAAAACAAAACAAAAAAATTAGGAATTTTTAAGAGAGCAGGACAAAATTAAATGAGTGAGAGGGAAAGTAATTGTTTATGAGATATGAGGTGATAAACTGATTAAAAATTTTGAGTAGAAATCAAGCACTATGAAAATGCCTATCATTTAAAATAATTCTTCTAGTTCATAGGTCTTCATTTTAGTTTGTTAGAGTTTAACAAAATTCCCTTATATCTGAAGGTTAGAGTACTTCTTTGTTCCCTTATTTTTCTCTACACGTCTCATACTGTTCATTTCCTCACATTGTGGCCTCTGGTACTTTTTATGTGAAGGTGCCCCTTGCTTCCTTTACTTCCTATTGTACTTAAGCTCCATTCTTAGGAGATGGGTTTTCTTAAAGACTTCTCCTTGGAAGTTGTTCCTTCTGTGGAATCCAGCATTTACTTCATGCAATTTAGTCTAACATTCACCAAGTTTCCCACTCATACTTTAAAATTTTCCCCAATTTATTAACACACCTACTTTGGGGTTCACAGAATTCAACTATTTTACTTTGTCTTAATTTACTCATACATAGTCACTTTCCATAAGATCAGTGTAAGGTTGCACCCTGAGCTATATGGCTGGCACTTAGCAGGATTGGATGAGTACTTGTTGACGTGAAAGCCCCAATACTTCTTTCTACTTCAAGTTTCACGTTCAAAGCAGGCTTTGGACATCCGTGTATGTTTTTGTAAATTGCTGCTATAATAAATTATCACAAAGTCCATGACTAAAATGTTTGTTATACAATTCTGTAGCAAAGTTCAAAATGAGTCTCCCAGCCTTTTCCAGCATTGGAAACTCTTACTTTGCTGAGCTCATGGCTCCCTCTTCCTTCAAAGCCACTAATGACCTGTTGAGTCTTTCTGTATCAGCCTGATTTCCTGCTTCCTTTTTTTGAATATAATGACCCTTGCAATAACATTGAGTCTACTGATAATCCAGGATAATCTCCCCCATCACAAAGTAGATGATTAGCAGCTTTAATTCCATCTACAACCTTAATTATCTTTTGTTATGAAACATAACATAGTCACAGGCCTCAGGGCCCCCTTATTTGTATATCACAATCCATATGTAATACCCTTGCTGCATATTTTCTTATCTTTTCAACTCCAATTAACTTACCTCTATTCTGCTTTAGTCCTTCATAGCTATGACTACCCTTTACAATTTTCTGTCATTCAAAATTGCTCCAATTCTGGAACTGTAAACTACCAATTTTTTTCTAATGACAATTTCAACCCGATATTATGGGAAAGTATAGAAAGCAATTATAAAGCCTTATTTACTGGCTTAAATACAGTTTGAACTTGATTCCTGAAAAAGGGGAGCTCAGTGTAGAGTTCCATCAAGGAAAAAAGAAAAGAAAAGAGAAATGTTCCAAAGCCAAGGAAACCAACCTTTAAATACAGAAATAGTGAATTAACAATATTGATCTTTTCCTCCCTTAATCTGGTTTTAACTAGAAAAATGAAGAGGGAAAGTGTGGCCCATCAGGAGATAATGAAGAGATGGCCAGTGTATCAACTGACAAAAAACAGGTGAACTTTTGTGGTGTTTTAAATGACATATGTGCATAAAGCAAAAGCAATGATATAAAGTGGAATAAAAGACCCTCTTATAGTCCGATTCCCTGGTTCCCTGTTCTTACTTCCAGAGGAGTGTGTTCTATGGTTTTCTAAAAGCCCTCTGTGCTTTACTGGTCTATATGTCTCTTCTGTTTAAAAAAGAAGATCTGAGATTGTTATTTGATGTATTCTGATATTTTGCTTTTTTGGGGGGGGTAGCGACATTTTGCTTTTTAAAAAATTTTTCAAATTTACTCTTGATCTCTTTTAATATTAACTTATATAGATGTGTGGAGAGAATCACCCTTCTATAGTCGTTTCACATGTCTATGAGTCTTGTTGGTTATGCTGAGAATACAAGGTCCCAATTGTTCGTGATATAGGCTGTTTCTCAGAGTTATGTTTGCAGTACTTAACATTGAGGGTGAAGGTATTGTCTTCCTTTTAGACAAAGAACAGGGTTTACTGTGAAACAGTGGGGTCCCCAAACTCAGTGTTCCTCTTCTATAATATGCTCCATTGCATGTCCAGGCAGCCATCTGGGCCCATCTGCACCCATCTGCATTACCCTTCCATGGGATTTGAGGGAATGAGCTGTGCTGTGAATAATAACCTAGAGTTTCATGTCTGCTGATATCCCAGGAACAATAACAGGTAGTTCGTAAGTAGGTTACAAATCAAAACCCAGACCTGAAAGATGAGCCTTGTTTTTCTGATGCTGCATATTATTTCCTTGTTACTTTAATGTTTTGAGATTTGTAGGGATTCTGATGCATTGGATACCAAAAACGAAAACAAAAACAAGCATTCATTTACTTATTTATTTATATTTTGTATTTTGAGGAGTCCTACTATTACCCAGACTGTCTTAAACTCTTGGGCTCAAGTGACCATCCTGCTTCAGCCTCTCAAATAGCTGAAGCTACAGGCATGCACCGCGTACTAGCATAAGTATTTATATTTTGAAAAGAATACATTGTTGATGAAACTTCCAGATTAGTTTTGAGAATAAGTCTCTAAAATGCCTAATAAGGATATAGAAATATTTGTCTCAATATTTAAATGATTTTGTTATAAAAAACACAAAGGGGAAAAATACTGAATTGCCATTAAATATACTAATTTGTATGCAAAACAGACTGTCCTCTTTTGCTCATGTTTTAGCTTAAGACTCTAACTAACATTGTGTAAATGACTTGTCAAAATGATAGTGAAACAGTCAACATCCAGGACAGTAATTCATTGAAAAAAATTCTTAATAGTTGTATTAAATGGAAGTGCTACAATGGAATGCAACCTAGCCTATGGTTTGTTTTTGTCTCAAACTTAATATTTTGGCCTCCCTAGCCAGAAACAATGAAGATATGTATGTATGTATATTTTTCACATTTCTTAAGAATAATTTTTTAGAAATGGTCAGGGTTTTGTAATCAAAACTTCAGGGTGTCTTGTCTTATTTATGGCTGCCTAACAGTACACTGCCTACTTAACAGACTAAATCTTAACTGACTAAATCATTTAGTCGCAGCTACTTCCATTGGTCTCATTGATTTAGTTTAACAATGTGGACTTTGGCACCAAGATCTTCCAATAAGGGATCATCAGTTAGTTTTCTGGAGTGACCAATGGTAGACTGGTTTTTTTTTTTTTTTTTTTTTGCTTCATGTAGAAGTGATTTTTTTAGCATTATTATGTTTTATCTAATATTAATATTGTTACATCAGATTTTTTTTTAGGTCAGGCCACTTTTTAAAAAACTTTTGGACAATCTTTATTAGTATGTTTTCAAAGATATATATAATCCTGAGCATATTTATCATTTACTCTTTGCAGTTTACATGTATTTTGTTCTAGACTCTGTGTGAGTACATTTTTATACTAGTCAGCAACATAAATAATTTAAAATATTTGTCTTAATCATTGGAATCACCAATTAACTTAAATCATCTCATTGTCTAATTTTACTGTGTGAAAGACTTTAGAATATTACTTTTCAAACAGCAATTTCTTTTAAAAACTGCAAAGATGGCCAGTGCAAGAGCTGATTCCATAAATTGTAGCATTTTTTTTAAGAAAACTGTGTTGCTCTTTATCTCTGACCTGTTTTCTGGAATAATTTGGATAATCATCAGTTATGTTTGAGAAGAATGGTAAAAGTGCCTTTTATCTTAACATTTTAACTAGTGCAAAATGTCATAGACTCCTCATGTATAAGTGGCACATAATACAGACTGATGTACATTAAATTCCATGAATCCAGACCAGATTTACTATAACTAGCAAATGAAAAGACAACAATGAAAGACAAAAACTCCTGAGATCATTGAGAAAAGGCATTTATCCAACATCTCCTACTGTGGACAAATGAATATTTTCAGTCTCATATTTTAAATTACTATCAACATATTGTATCTTTCTACAGGCAGCAAGAACAAAAGCATAGAGTATCTAGAAATGTTTCTTTGACAAGAATGTCATGTTTTTGAAAGTACACTCAAATTGCCTTCCGAATGAGGTCATTACAATCTTAGGTTCAGGCAAAAAAATAAATATTGTCCGTTTTGATACTCTAATAAAATGTAAGAATAAATGTGAAATTATTGTGGAAATATTTATAAACACTTTTTGGGAGCACTTGCAGGTTAGCAAGTAATGGAATAACTGAAACAGAACAGACGTGATATAATATGTAAGATTTGGTGACAAATCCAAAAATATCCTTAATGGCTTTAAAAAAGCATAAAAACACAGTTTTTATCTTTTTTAGTTTGAAAATTCAGCACCAAAACCAACTGTTTGCACATAATGCAGTGCAATTAGCACTTATTTGAAAAGGACTCCCCAAGTTGTTTGTTTGGGTTTTTTGTTTGTTTCTTTGTTTTGTTTTTTTGAGACAAGGTCTCACTGTGTAGTACAGGCTGGCCTTGAACTTTAGCCCAGGCTGACCTCAGTTTCCCTTGTGCTAGGATTACAGGGGTATGACTTCTCCAAAGTCTTGAAACTGTTATACATTAACCAGAATGGAATCCATTTGAATAAATGATTTAAAGGTGTCCAGAGTATTTTATCAAGAACTACTAGACACTCCCACCTGTGTCACTGAATCATAAGCAAATTTATGCAAAACTGTTCTGAATAACTTTTTTTTTTGTACCAAGGTTCAAACTCGACCTCATGCTTGCCAGGCAGGCGCTGATGTTGCTGAGTTAAATCTCCAGCTTTGAATAATTGACTCTTAAGGCTCCCCAATAACAAGCTCAGATGAGACAGACCAAACCTAAGAAATAAGTAATGGTCCCAGAAATGTAGATGGCATGAGATTGTCTTGCAAAATCTTGGGTGCTAACAGTTAAACCCAACTCCAAAGAGAATACTTATTATTCCAATGGTAGTATATGCACTACCATTTTAATTATTGTTAAAAATATTCTAGCATTTCTGCCACAGGCCCAAGTAAAGCTAGGCCTTTGGAACCAAGATGGGTAAAGCAGTCACCACCTAGGCTCTGGTGGCCACTGCTTTGGCTGCTGCCTATGGGCACCATGCATAGAGAGGATGTTGTACTCTTGGTTTCAAAATGTACAGGAAATGGATTTAACTTAAACTTGGGTCAGATTATTAGTACTACAACTGAAATTCCTAAATAGAGTGGCCACGTGTGCAGTCAACTCTGCAGTGTATGTTGTGTACCAGTTGATTGAAGATCTGAAGCAGCTGTGGTTTGGAAACAGAACGGATATATTAGGCTGCATCCTGGTAGTTGAATTTTTCAGCCTTGCTGCCTGTTACAAACATGGGCCCCTGTGGTGGTTCTTGGTTCTGAGCTTTGCCAGTGTGGCCATGCCTCATTTCTCTTACTTGGTGATCATTCTCCTCAAGTCCTCCTAGATTCTCCGTTATCCACTGAAAACATTGAGTTACATGAAGCGGAGAGTGAAGCAGTGGTTCGCACCAGAATGGCTGATGCTTAAGCGCCTCACTGAAGATGAGTGCAGGAAGCAGGCAGCCAGTGCTCTGGACGACCGGTGCCGGGTACTCTGCTGATCTGACCCCAACCTGGCTGGCCATCTCCAGACTCCAGGTTCCTAAAAACTTTGTAGATTTTGTTCTTGCAGCAAGCAAACTACCTGTTGTTTAAGAAGTCAGTCTGCGCGAAGAGCAGTATATAGCCTTGGGGTACCTTCTTGGAATAGCAAATTTTTTTTTGGTACATGTTTTCAATACCTAATGTTTACATTCCTTGTGGTGAGTTGGTTTGTATGCATAACACATCTTAAATCATCTTTCATCTCCTTTTCCCCCTTTCTTCCATTTCTTGATCCCCTTATTTGAGATTTATCTCTTCACTTCTTATTATCTTTTATTTTGCTCCTTATTTATACTTTAGTTTCTCATATAAGCGAAACTATGCTTGTTAACCCACAGTCTAACCATCTCTCTGTGTGTTGACCTCCCTCTGGGAAAGGAATTAAGTAAAGGACAAGAATACTGTTAAACTACAGAACTTCTTTAATGAAGAGTGAAAGAAGCATGTGCTATGGAGAAAAATAAGCCCTAATGGGAAGGAAAATAATCTATATTAAAAGAGAACTTACTATTCTTGGTAAATTCTGCTAGGTGAGCACCAAGATTCTGTGACATTCATTGCCACTTTCCACGAATAAAGACTTTCATTAGGAATAAGGGAAACACATTGCTCTTCAAGAAACCAGTAAACATGATAGGTACCTTGTCAATACCAGGGTACCAAACCCCCTCTTAATACCTGAACCTGTCACAAGACCACATTATTCTACTTCAGTTTCCTCATCAATGCTGAATAAGACCTGATATGTATTACACTAGTGTTTTACAAAGTATAATCCTCAGGATACTAAAAAATTCTAGCCAGTACAGGATTCTAAGGTCAACAAAGGTCGATACAAGGTTAAATCGGTGCACTGCAGATCTGAGTTTTTAGTAATGCTCATATATATTGAAATGTGGGGTGTTAAATAATTTGTCCAAGACTGCAAAACTAATGCCAAGGCACCACAGATAGAAGTCTTTGGTGGTGCTGTTTTTGAGACAGGCTCTCACTATGCTGTTCAGGCTAGACTTGAAGTCAGTAGGAAGCACAGGTTGGCCACAAACTCACAGTGATCTTGCTACCTCAGTCTTCTGAGTGCTGGGATTACAGGTATGCAACACTACATATGGAAAGTTTATAAAAGTTTGGGTAAAACTTTTATATGCATACATAAGGACCAGAAGTTAGAATTATTTTATGCATTTTTTTGTGTTGAAATCAAAGGCATTTAACCTTTTTGTGATAAAAATTTTGAGATTCATTAAAAATTATTTATATTTATTTGTAATAATTTCCTACAAAATAGATTTGTGATATTATAGGAACAAATCTTTGTTTCTTGACTCATGATAAATGCTAAGACAAAATAAGAACTGAGTTTTGACCTGGAGGAAAGGAGACTGAAATACAGATCTGGGGTTTGAACACAGCAAAACTATATGGGTTAAAATGTTGCTGAATTAATTCTTGGACAGTCCAACTTGCCTTTTTTATGATGAGATCATAAAAAAATGAGAAATTCCTTTGGTTAAGAGAAATGTAGTAGGGAAAGGACATACAATGTTTGCTTTCCTGAGCCAAAGTGAGTACAGCTTTTCTAAATTGTTACTGTGTAGCTACACATTGGGATCTTGCTAGACAGATTTTCAAATCCTATTACTGTTTGCTCTTTGAAGCAGTGTCTCAGCATTTGCAGGTCTACTTTTGCCAGACATTTTTTAATATTAGAAGTCTTGCCTTTATTAAAAATAAACTTCACTTATTCAATTGGTACCTTTCTGTAGACTGATATACTTTAAATAAAGTATATCTTCCATTCATTTTTATGATCATGATTATTGTATAAGCATAAATAGGATTTCTGCTATCAATCTTGTTAGTGTAAGCTGATTTTTATTTTTTATAATTATATTTATTTGTGATGTGTATCATATACATCAACACTTGGGCTTATTCTGCTCACCTCTTGAGAAGAGACAGTTTGTGTCATACAGACTTGTGGGCTCACAGGCCAGTGTAACTACACAGTAAAAACAGCTCACAAAAGAGAAAAGAACAACTGTTCCAGGATATTGTTTTTCGAGGAAGTCATGCATTTGCCCATTTCTGTTACATGAGTACTGTGGGAAGCTGAACAAAAGCATTACTGGCAAAAATAAATAAATAAAAATTTTAAAGACAGAATTTAAGACTACTTTAGTTCTGCCTTTTACCATCTGTGGATTATTCGGAAAACCATGTGAACTCTCTGGGCTTGATTTATCCATATGTGAAAAAAAAAGTTTTTCTGATTTTTCTATTATCTAGAAGCTTAATGATAAGTATTCCTAGATTATGTGCTGTAAATATTCCTAGATTATATGCTATAAGAAACACATCAAACTGACTTGTTGCTCTTGCCCTTTAGTAGTTTAAAATGTATCCTTTCACTGGAACCAAATAATGCTAATTACACACTTGTTGGGTCAGTAGAGTCTCCGTTTTGAAAACTTCTGATCTAAAATCAACACAATAGTATGAGGCAGTCTTTTAGACTCAGTGAGATATGTACATCCATATAAACTGTGTTCAGATAAAGAATTAAATACAGAGAACTAAAGATTTCATTAATAAATTAAGTATTACCCATGATATGAGATGTTATAATTAATAAATTATTATTTTGTATCAATATAGGTGAAGAAAACTGGTCTTGTGGTGGTGAAAAACATGAAAATTGTTGGTCTCCATTGTTCTAGTGAAGATTTACATGCTGGGCAAATTGCTCTTATTAAACATGGGTCAAGGCTGAAAAACTGTGATCTTTATTTTTCCAGAAAACCATGTTCTGCTTGTTTGAAAATGATTGTAAATGGTAAGTGCAGATAAGGCTTTTTTGGGGATTAAGAGCTTTTATCTGAGAACAAACAGGGAGACAACTTGCCTAAATACCACAGAGATAATTTGGAAATATAAATACATGTCTGAAGATATTTGACATTTTATGAAAAGAAGAGTTAGAAAACATAGTCTCAGATTCCAGCCTTAGCTCTGCCCACTAATCAGTTAAGTGATTCTGAGTAAATCCGTATACTAAAGCTAGCTACTGTGTCAAAGAAATCCCAGAATTTCAGTGACTTAATGCAGGAGACTTCGCCCTTGTAATAGTCTAGGGCAGGTGCTGCTGAGCAGCAGACAGCTTTTCTCCATGTGACTGAGTCACAGGCCCAAGCATCTTACATCTTACTGCAGTTGTCATCCTGCATCCTTGCTTAAGTCCCTTGCATTCAGAGGCAGCCTGAGAGAGACAGAGCAGAGAAAGCACACCTTCTTAAAAACCTTGGCCTGGGAGTGCTGGGGATATAGCTCAAGTGGTTGGGTACTTGTGTGACATACGTTTGATCCCTAGTACCACAGAAAAAAGAAACAAAATCCAATCTGGAAGTTGCACATCATTTCTGTTCATTTCCATTTCGAAAACAATACACCTTGGTTGGACATCTATCTCCTGACTATTATTTGAAAAGGAACACAATTTTTTATTGTGTAGCCTTCCACTCTGCCACACCAGGGTACTTACCATTCTTTTCCTTATGATTCTGTTTTGCAACCACGTGAGTATGCAGACCACTCATATCACTTTAAAATATATATCTTACATATGGACAGTGTGGTGACTCAAGAAAAAAAAAGACAAAAAGCTCAAATGGTTCCTACCCATGTTACTTGGGAACAAAAAAACTTAATGAACACATCATCGTGTACCAAGTAAATGATTCGGGCTTTAGCTAATACAGGATCTCCAAGAAGAAACAGTGATCCCGCAGGTTGTCGCATTACAAAAAGATGGGACATAAGCTGGATTTTCTTAAAGTTTCTGGCATATAGGAGGAGGGGATTTTGTTTCTCAGGAGGCAACAGCACATCTAGAGTCATCCAATTGTAAGGAATGAGGCTTAGTATTTGAAATGGAAGATTATTCTTAGTAAAAACAGATGGATTATAATAATAAATTGGGACTTTAGTGGAGAACTCTGAAAGTGTACATAGCTTCTGGGCTTATGAAACTGAGTTCCTAGACCTGTTTTTCAGAAGAGTTATTTTTTATTTACATCCATGTCTTAAAAGTACTGATCAGATTTGTATTGAGGTTAGTATGTTGAGTCACATATTAAACTTCAGGAGAGCTATACTCTAGAAGTTTCCTGTCCTGTATGTAACAAGCATTTCAAGCAGATAGATATCTATGACAGTGACTTGATTCTGTAGTTCCTCATAAATAAAATAGGTATCATAGTAGTGGCACCATTTTTTTTCCTGTTACCAATTAACCAGGTGGATTGGGCAGTCATGCTTGTGTTCAACGAATTTACAAGTCCTATTATAGGTAATGTAGAGTCGCTGGAGACTTTTGTGCAGGATGTAAGATGAGTTTTTTGTTGTTACTGAACTGGCCCTGGAGAACTTTGAAACCAAGAGCTTGATTAGTAGGCTATTGTATTAGTCAGGGTATAAAATAGGTTTCAAATGGCAGTATTGCTATGGAAAGAAAAGAATGTGAAAGGAACAAAATAATTGTTGATCTTTCTAGTCAAATAAGAATAATAAATAAAAGATGTGTTTTACCCTCAGTTGCCCTTCTGAAAGTGTCCTAAACATCTCACAGCTAAGAGTTAAAGTAGGGAGTTCAGGTCACCCTGCTGCTTGATATCTGAAAGGCATTTCAACTCAGCACATGAGGAAATGAAGTTTGGGAAATCAGGAAGGACCTAAAGTGGAAATGCATTTATGTTAGTGTTAACCCTGTATATAAATAAAATTTCCCTGTTTTAGGTTTACATATTAATGATGTTGGGAGGAGGGCATGACCCCATTCTGTAGCTGAATTACTTGATTTACAATCACTTTAACCTCAGTTAAACCAAAGAAAATATTTCCTAGCACAGTGGTTCTCAAAGTATGCACTCCTGATGGTAAACACTGTTTTCAAAATAGTCCTGCAGTCACAGTAATGGTTCACCAGATCCTAGGAATTCTTTTTTTCTAAACCAGAAACTGAACTTGCAACCAGTGCTTGCCAGGCAGGCAGTGTACCACTGAGCTGTATGCCCCAGTCACAGAATGGTAACAAGATAGTGGTGATTAAACCACCAGGGCTGCGACATGGAGCAAAGCACCAAACCACTAGTCACTGTGCTCTGCGCATGCTGCGTGTGAAAAGTGAGACAGTTCCACATAAAAATGTCCTTGATGAAATAGTAAATCCTAAGTCATCAGTACATATCTTTTGCTTTATTTTGTTTTGGTTTTTATTTTGAGACAGGGTCTCACAATGAAATTAAGCCTGGCCTGAACTTTCTCTGTAATCTAGGCTGGCCTTTAAAGTAGTCCTGTTTCAGTGTCCCAATTACTGGGATTACAGGGATACGCCGCCATGCCCAGCTTCATGTCTGTCGTAAGATTCTTTGTGGAAAAGGAGGAGTTGGTCATAAAGCACTTTTATTACAAACCTAAATATGAAGGGTTGTTGTCCTAAGGAAACCGTTTAAGTAATTATGTTGCAGACTGCACTGATCCATGTTTTTCAGGGAACACCATGAAATAAACTATAGTAAGTTAGATTTAGATATTTGAGACACTGCCTCAAAAATAAAAGGGGCCTGTCACTTCAAGAAAATAATTGGCAGTGTTTATTAGAGATAAAATTCAGAGTAAAAATTAGAATATTTGAAAAGCGTAAACAGCTTCCCAATAGTCTGTTGATGAGATTGGTGGTAAGACTAATGAACTGGTTTTTTTTTAATGTTGTAAAATTAATACATCTTTATTTTCCAAGTGACAAATATGTGATACTGCAAATTATACATGAGTAAAAGAGTCATTTAAGTGTCAGATATACCAGGGGACTTAAGCACGATAATATAAAAAGTTTGTTGATATTGTTTCAGAATTCACATTGTAACCTGTGAGAATCCCTTGTCAAATACTTACACAGCCTGAAAGAGTATTCACTAATGTCTGTGTATACTTTTCAGCTACACACCTGTATAAGCCAGAATACTTTTCATATATGTCAGTGAAAACATACTATTGCAATAAATTGAAAGCTGAAGCAAATTTGAGAAATTAGTTGTTTTCTATTAGGCCAAATGTTAAAGATACCTATAAAAATGTAAAAGCCATTCTTCTTTCATTATTTTGGAAATAATTTCTTTTCATAAAGCTCTGTTAATATGTAATTGGTTCTTTATTGCTATTTCAAATAAATAAATACTTTAAAATTTTGTTTTAATTTTCTACTACAGTAAAATCAGTAGATATAATACATGAAAGCTGTTTGGTGCGTTCAGTAATTTTTAGTTTAGGGCTTGGAGGTAGCTAAGAGCTAGAGCTCTTGCCTCACATGTCCTGAGTTCCATCCCCAGCACTGCAAAAGCAAAAACAAAACAGTATCTTTAGGAAAAATAATTTAAGAGTATAAAGGAATCCTAAGATCAAAATATCTTGGAACTTCTGTAGCATTTGCCTTCTCTTTTCTTGGATCAAGATTACTGGGAACAACTAAGATGCTTAGGTAAAAGATTCACTGTCACTGCTAGTTAGGAAATAAGAGAACTCATAACAGAGGGAAGGTGAGATACAGCCAGGAGAAGCACCTGACCTGAGCTTCGAGGCCTTCAGAGCTGCTCTGCAACCCAAACCACAGTGAGTCAGGACTAGCAGGGGGTAGAGAGAAGTATGTATTTGTTTAACTTAGAAATTTTAGTTCATGTATTACAAGGGTGGAACACTGGGCATTGTCTGTTTGTTCATTTTAGGGTATAATGAAAGTCTAAGCTAAATTACATGAGTTGCTAACACAAAGGTCTCTGTTGTAAACATCATTTGAGAAACACCTGAGTGTTTATGTATAAGGCATTTTTATTGTTGAACCTCAAATACCAATTAAAATATTTTTCATATGTTTGGTTTTCACTTATTTCTCTTTTGAATTGTCTGTTCATATCTTTCGATCTCTCTTAAAGCATTACTATTCAATTCCTCTGTATTTCAATGAATTAAAATCTTTTCTGTATATTAAAATTATCAACTTTTCCTTTGTCACATTTATTGAAGAATGTTTCTTTAGTTTGTTTTTGTCTTCAATGTTGTAGGCTTTTTAAAAATAGTATTTAGTTGGCCATGATGGCATACACCTGTAATCTTAGCGCTTTGGGAGGCTAAGGCAGAAAATTTGAGTCCAGGATGGGCAACTTAGTGAGACCCCGTTTCAGAATTTTAAAAAACAAGCAAAAAAGAGCTGGGGATGTAACTCAGCACAAAGTCTCTGGGCTCAATCCCTACTACTACCAAAAATAAAACAATAATGTTGCCCTGTCACCATGATTCCAGCCTCTCAGAACAATTTTCCCCTTCTATAATGCCTTGTAGACAGTTTTGATAAGTATGAGAAGTACAGTAATTTATTTAATAATTCCCCTGTGTTGGTAATCTAGCTATTTTTAAAAAGTATTTTAAAGAATACAAACTAGTCACAACGATGTACCCCAATAGTCCACTCTGGAAGTCTGACGTAGGAGAATTGCAAATCTAAGCCTAACCTGAACAAGTTAGTGACTTAATTTTGTGACCCTGTCACAAAATTTAAAAATTTTTTTTTAAAGTTTTGGATCATGTAGCTCAATGGGAAGGTGCTAGATTCCCAGTTCCAAAAGACCAAAACCCTCAATGTTGAAAAAATATATATATACACACATATATATCATTTTTGCCTCTATCTTTAGAATAGTTATTAGAATGGCTTTCTTAAAAAATTCTGGGGGGCTGGGGATTTAGCTCAGTGACATAAGTGCCTGCCTTGCAAGCACGAGGTGAGTTCAATCCCTGATACCGATTAAAAAAAGAAAAAAAAAGTTTAAAAAATTCTGATGGCTGGGAATTTAGCTTAGTGGCTTAAGTGCCTGCCTGGTAAGAATGAGGTTGTGAGTTTGATCCCTGGTACAAAAAAAAAAAATTTCTGAGTCACAAACAGGAACATTTTTAATGCAGAGATGAATTATTACTTTAAAGCTCTACACAGTATCAATTGTTGACCAATATTTGAACGGTAGTCATGGTGCTGTGAAAGGCACTGGTATATAGTTTTCGGTGGTTTTTTTGTTTTTTTTATTTTTGTTTTTTTTGGTCTTTTTTCCTTTTTATCAGTACTAGGGATCGATCTCACGACTGCCTGCTTGCAAGGCAGGCACTTATGCCGCTGAGCTAAATCCCCAGCCCCTGGTATATAGTTTTAATGCTAGGCTTTGAGACTACATATAGGAAAATCAGTGACTCCACAAATGCCTTTCCATTAACTACCAGAGGATGATTAACTTTCTTGAAAAGGGCAGATACTAAACATCGTAGGTTTTGCAGACCATACAGTGGTTACGGGACCCATTCATATGTGCCATGCAAAAGTAGCTAAAGACTAATTAGCCAGGTGTAGTGGTGCACACGTATAATCCCAGGAGTTGGAAGGTTGAGGCAGGAGGATCACTGCAAGTTCAAGGTCAGCCTGAGCTACATAATGAATTCAAGGCAAGCCTGTGCTATGTAGTAAGACCTGGTCTTGGGGGGGGGGCTAATTGAATGGGTATGTCTTATTCTAGTAAAACTTTATTTACGGACACTGAATTTCTCTTAATTTCAGATGGAATGAAATATTCATTTGACTTATATACCAGGCTTGGGATATACCTCTGAAAGATCACTTGCTGGACCTCCTTGAGGCCCTGAGTTCAATCCCCAGAACCACCAAAATAGAAAGCAATCCATTTATGACTAAACTGGTAATGGTTTGGGTTTGGCCTATTCGTAGTTACAGATCAACCATCAAATTGTATAATAAGTCACTTGGTGGTAGTTTATTACATAAGGCCCTTTACTGCACCAATGGGGTGAGTTTATCAAGAAAACTAAATTCATCATGTATCAGCTAATTACCTTTATGTTTTATTTCAGCTGGAGTTAACCGAATTTCATATTGGCCTGCTGATCCAGAAATAAGCTTGCTTGCTGAGGCTTCTAGTTCTGAAGATGCAAAGTTAGATGCCAAAGCAGTGGAAAGATTGAAGTCAAATAGCCGGGCCCATGTGTGTGTCTTACTCCAGCCTTTGGTGTACTATATGGTGCAATTCGTAGAGGAGACTTCTTACAAATGTGACTTTATTCAAAAAATTACAAAAACAGTACCAGATGCTAACACTGACTTTTATTCTGAATGTAAACAAGAAAGAATAAAAGAATATGAAATGATATTTTTGGTTTCAAATGAAGAAATGCATAAGCAAATACTGATGACTATCGGTCTGGAGAACCTGTGTGAAAATCCGTACTTTAGCAATTTAAGGGAAAACATGAAAGACCTAATTCTACTTTTGGCCACAGTAGCCTCCAGTGTGCCCAACTTTAAACATTTTGGATTCTACTGTAACAATCCCGAACAGATTAATGAAATTCACAATCAAAGTTTGCCACAAGAAATTGCAAGGCACTGCATGGTTCAGGCCAGATTATTGGCATATCGAACTGGTGAGTTAAATGCTTAGTTCATAAATCGAGACTTATTTGGTTGGTTGGGTTGTATTTGTCACAGAAGTAAAGTGGTGTTTGTCTGTAGTAGTTCACATACAGCATGTAGAAATTATAAGACCTTGTATAAGAGACATTGTTGGAACAGTTTTGGATTTCCCAGTGGCCTTACATTCAGCATCACATTTATAATTTAAGGCCAGATTTTCTGAAACCCTGCTGCTTCTTGCATTTATGGACTTCACTGCTCACTGAGCCTTCTACTAAAGATGGAACAAAACAAAAGTGAAAACTAAAGTCATTTCTTTTTTATTAACTCTTTAATATTTTGTATGTCTTCAATGAAAACTTGGAAGTTATAATAAAATTAATATAAAATAACTAAAGAATATCAAAGTAAATACATGTAGAATATTATAGATTCTTCCAATTGCCGTTATGTCTCAATCAGTAAGTTGAGAAATCAAGTATTTTTTTTATTGTATTAAGTTGCATATGTGGGAAAGGAGAATATTAAGACTACTCTATTGTATAAAAATATTGCATCTGTATTTCTAATTTCTTTCAAAGTAGAATGATAACATCTTCTAAGACTCAGTAGGAAAGCAGCAGAGTAAGACTGCTATTCCAAAAGGAAAGAGAAGGAAAATGAGAAAATTTCCATGAAAGATGCCACTGGTCTCTAATGTATTCTAAACAGATAGACAGACAGACAGAACAAACAGCCTCAAAGTAAAGTCAGTAGAATGGAAGATCTCAACTGACAGCATATAAGACGTAACATGGCAACTTTAATAAAAAGATTCTCAGTTCCCCGCCCAGAGTATTTAACTGTAGCATAGACCTAGAGGAAGCACTTTCCAAAATTAAAATGTACCTTTCTCCTGGACCACACAGTTGGTGATGAAAGTAGGCTGAAGTAGCCAATGTTAACTGTTGGAAAGTGTAACTCCCAGGTTTTCAGTGTGACCAGGATTTGGTAGGGAGCTCTTCTCTGAGAAATGCAGATTCCTGAACCTTTCTCAGGTTGAATTACAGATCCCCCTGGGAACTAGGAGTTTGGCTTTTTAACCAGCATCCAGCAGTTTTGAGGTGCAAATGACTGAGCAAACATGGAAGTGAACACAGAATGGAGCTAAAATAGCTCTGCCTGTGTGCCAGAACCATGGCTCTGACTTTCAGTGACCAGAGACCCCAGGAATTGGCTGCAATCAGAATTGACCATAAGGAAAGTGACTTTTCTTTCAAAGTTGTACAGAGAAAATCCAATGAATAACCAACCAGATTAAGGGGAGCAATTTTTGTAAGAATTTCAGTTGTAAGATTTTTGAGAAATAACATCACCAGAGTTGGGGCAAGGGTGAAATTGACTCCATTTTATGTAGATAAAAAGTTTTCCTTATTTGAAGGGACAAGCAGTAAAGAATATTGTCTCTTGATGTAACTATCCTTTGCCAAGCAGTTGAGATCCCTGCTGTTGCAAAAATCACATCCTAGCAAGGTTTAGCCTGCCCCAGAAAGTCAGAAAAAGTGACTCCTGAGACTGAAAATCATAATACAAAAAATACTTAGGATTGACATAGGAAAAGTGGACTCAGTATGGACAATTTATATTTTAGGTTTTCATTTTTTCCTTTCTGAATTACACACATACTGAGTACAGCTTTATACTAAGATTTTGGCTTTCTAGGCAAATGCAATCTAATGCTTGTAATTTTTGCCACCTGCCTTAGAAATTGAGCATAAAGCCGTTGATTTGTATTCTTTTTCCTGCTTGTTAAATTATAAAGGTCTAGGAAGGAACAAAACTTTGTTACACCAAAATCTCTTTTCCCTCCACACTACAGAAGGCAGTTGTCTTGTATATTCTGCCCCTTAGTATCAGTTTCAACTTAAGAGCACAGCACATAACAGTGTTTCCTGTCACTGTCTTCCTGCCCAACTCAGCCGTAAGTTACATGAGGGTGGGGACTGATATTTCCCTCTCTACCAGACTCTCAGCTTCTCACAATATTTGGTACACCTGGGACACTCAGTGAGTAAAAATCCTCATTATGGAATTCTTAATGTCAAAGGAACAGGAGGAGGAAAAACAAAAGAAGTGGGGTGTGGGGGCTAGTTCTTAATCAGTCAATTTCTCTGTGTTTTAACTAAAAATGAAAATGTTAACTGCTTTAGCCTTAGGTAAAATTTTTATACAAATACTTTGTAGTATAAATATCTAAAGCCTGACCTGGAGGCTTGAACTGGAGATGGAAAATTTCCTTGTATTATCAGAACCTTTTTGTTCATTTGTCTTTTTGGCACAGGGTCTCACTGTACAGTTCAAACTGGTCTTAACTCACTTTGTAGCCTAGTCAGGTCTTAAACTCATGGCGATCCTCCTGGCTCAGCCTCCCAAGTGCTGGGACAACAGGCATGCACCACTGTGCCCAGCAGAACTTTTTAAACATTAACTTACTGATAGGTTTCTAATCCTAGATTTTAATACAGTAGTAGCACAAACTATCTTTAAACTTTTACTGGAAATTTGGTATTTATATATGTTAGCCTTTGAAGGAATGGCTTTTAGAAAACTATAGAGGTAAAGGACAATTTCACTTAATCCTTGCCAATATGAAAATGCTTAGGTTAAGTTCACAGACAACTCTTTCTTTATGTAAAGAGTAGGAAAAGTAGATCTTTAATATGTACAATTTATTTACTTAATTTTAAAAAATTTGTTTGATAATAATTGTTTTAAGAAGTGTGGTTTTACTTCTTGTTGGAGAGCTGTAATCTTATATCTAGAACTTGTGCCACCTGACTTAGAAGTGAGTGTGTATGAGACTGATGTGGCATCTTTTTCCCCTCACAGTAAACAGGAAGGTTATGGGAAGCACAGCATTTTGTTTAAGTCAGAATATCCTTCATGTACCTTTCAGCAATAGATACGAAAGTTGGTAACACTTTGTCTGTATTACAAGTTAGAACTTACTTATTAGCAAGAACACTTCCATAAAATGTATTTCTATGATTAGAGTGTAAAAAAGATAGACAAATTTGATTGTTGTGAATAATTATTGCACTAAATCCATTAGTTCAGAAATTTCATTTAAAATTCAATTGTATCAACTCAATTGTATCAATAGTCATTTAGATAGCCAGGCATGGTAGCACACACTTGTAATCCTAGTACTTGGGAGGCTGAGGCAGGAGGATTGCTGCAAGTTTAAGAACTACATAGTGAAACCCTGTCTCAAAAAACAAGCAAACAAAAACAAAAAATATCCCATATAGTAATTTAGCAACTGACATACTAGTGAAAACTCAGTGAGATTGTACTCAGTTCTGGTTACTGCTTTGAACTGATCTAACTGTAGCCCCAGCCATGTTAGTGGTCTTCACAGGTCCGTTCTGAGTGATTGCAGTGATCCTGACTACTTTCCTAGTTTCTAGCACCTATAGTCCATACTTAGAAGTTTTTAACACATTCATTTAATGAATGAAGTTATCAAGAATTGCTGCTACATGTTCCAATAAGTATGTTTTCTGGGTTTTTGGAAAAAAAATACTTCTGAAACTAACAGACCATTGATTTTACTGAGTTCAGTATCTTATTTTGCAGAGGATCATAAAACAGGAGTTGGAGCAGTCATTTGGGCAGAAGGGAAATCTGTAAGTATGAAAATAATTCTTGGGGCTGGGGATTTAGCTCAGCGGCATAAGCGCCTGCCTTGCAAGCAGGCAGTTGTGAGTTCGGTCCCCGTACCGATAAAAAGGAAAAAGACAAAAAAAAAAAAGAAAAGAAAAGAATTCTTTAACTGTTTAACCTGGATTTTGTTTAATTAAACATAGTTCACTCTTCAGTACTTTTTTTTTGTTTTCTGAGATGAGATCTCGCTGTCTTGCCCAGACTGGGATACGATAGTCGAGAGGTTCTGAAGATGGCATCCAGAGCACTGGCTGACTGCTGTGCCCTGTAGTGTTGGGAGTGAGATGGTGACCTCTGGTGAGGGAGCAGGTAATCCTCCCACGTGAACCTCCGAGAAACTATGCCACCAAGCCAAGCCATAGATTGCATTTTTGGGGAAAAGTGGGGGGCGGTCTTTTTTGAGATAGAGTCTTGCTATGCAGTTTAGGCTGGCCTTGAGCTCACCTTGTAGCCCAGGCTGATCTCAAACTCACAACTATCCTCCTGCCTCAGCCTCTTGAGTGCTGGGGTTACAGGGGTGTGCCACCATGTCTGGCTAACATTGAGATTAATGTTTTTTAGTGGTGCATTATAAATTCTATAGACATTTACTTATTCTCTAAACAGATTTTTTTATGTAGGTTCATCCATTTAGCAAACATTTGTTAGACACCTACAGGTTAGGCACTGTGCCACAATGGATGTTAGAAATTTAAAGATCGCACGTTCTGCCTTTCATGACCTCATATCTTTTGATACAGAAGTAAGAAAGAGACTCATCTATAAGTGAAATTATAATTGATACTGTGAGGAGGTGGAAGAGGACCCCTACTGTCCTTGGAGAAATGAGTGACATATTCTTGGAAGTGGTAGTAGGCTATTAATCTTGAAGAATGAGTAGAGTTCATCAAAGCAACCTAGAAAAACTGGAGGCTAACATTCAAATGTAGAAAGTGAGAAAGAGAGAATATGGGAAATTGTAGTGTTGTGGCATGTGGAGGTCCAGAGTCCTATGTCAAGTAGAGTGACCATGGAGGACATTTAGCCATGTGAAGAGCAGGTGCTTTGTCCTACAGACAGCACACAGCACCGTAAAACCAGTAGAAATTAAAGGTGAGGCACACATATGACTAGAGATTTCTAGGAGCCATACTGAAAAAAATAGCTGAGGTGATATAATGCTGACTGAGATGTGAACCTAAACTTTGTCTCAGTGAACTATAGAGCAAGTAACTTGACTGTTTGTTTTAGTGTTTTGTAAGTTCTTCAAATTTAACCTGCCTAATAATCAGGGATCTTTTCTGCTCACCTGCTCCTTCTGTGGTCACCATCTCGCCCTCTGACACTGCACCTCTAGTGCTGTGCCTGCCATCTTCAGGACACCTCTTGACTCTACTTACCTGTCCCTCGACTGTTAACTCCTGTTAGAATCAGTTCTTCTGGCAGCAATTCGTACCAGTCATTCGTGGCACTCATCACAATTAAAGTTGTGTCTGCTCTCCAGACTTTTAACTGCTCCTGATAACAGGGTCATGGAGGCAGGGATTCTGGTCTGCAGCTGTGTTTCACACAGGTCTGGCCTCTGGTGGGAACTCTTATTTGTGCTTATGTGAATACTTAGCAGCCTTTTGGTTTAGGATCTGGCTCTCAGCTTTGTGGAGAATTCTACACCAGGTGAGTGTAGTGGTGCACGCCTGTGACCCCAGAACTTGGGAAGCCGAGGCAGAAGGATCAGCATAAGTTTGAGGCAGCCTGGGCTACACAGTGAGTTCAAAACCAGATTGAACTACAAAACAAAATAAAACATGAAAATAATGTAGGAAGACTGAATGGTAAAGCAGGAAGACATATGGTCTTGGAAGAAAGCAACCAGGGCTGGAACCCTTGCTGTGTTACTTACTAGCTCTGTAATCTTGAACAAATTAGTCTCTCTTCCTCTCAGTTTCCTTATCTATAAAATGGGAATATTGATAGTGCTACTCTTTAGATTGTTTTAAGGATTGAGTAAATGAAATAATGCATATGAACTTAACATGATGTTTGACATTTGGCAAAGAAAAGTTTATTAATGGAATAATATTTGCAATTTTTATTAGCAAATTACATAGTTACCCAGTTTTTATAGTAATGAGTCTGTTGATAATATCAAAGTGTTATAAATACCTTATCTTTTATAAAATGACATCCTAAAAACTGATAAAAGCATTTATATTAATAATATGTCATTAATCAAGAAAAATAGCCACTGAAGTAAAAAGTTTTATGCATATAAATATATGGCTCAGTAAATATTAAAGAGTAAGGGAAAGTGTTTTTATTTTCTGCCTGAATCACAATTGCATGTTTTTAGCCCAGCAACAGAAATTGTTCAAAATATTTTCATTAACCAGTGAATATAAGAAATTGACAGTCACTAAGTATATGCTGTGTATATCAATCTAGCATGTGACTTAAAGGGACAGAAAGGAAGTATAAAATGTGGTTTCTATTTCCTAGGATTTTTAACCTATTTGAAGAGAAATTAAGTAAGCCAATTTGTGAGTTAAACAAGATAAAATTTGTTTAACTGCTAAAATTAAAGGCAGCCTGGAAATTATAGATTATTATTATTATAAGTTATTATAATAAACTCCAGGAGCCGGGGATTTAGCTCAGTGGTGCCTGCCTGGCAAGCACAAGATCATAAGTTCAATCCCTGGTACAAAAAAAAAAGAAAGAAAGAAACTCTGGTAAGCTTCTTTTTTCATTGCTGAGTCAAAATACTCAATGCTCAAAGTTAAGGGAGGGAAAGTTTATTTAACTGACAGTTTCTAGAGGTTTCAGTCCATATCCAGTTGGGTCCAAGGCAGGTGACTTGGCAGAGGGATTTTGCAGAGGAGAAATAGTTCATGGCAGCAGAAGGCAGTGAAAGCAACAAGGGAGAGGGGCGAGCTCTGTCTGTCCTTTATATCCTGTGCAGGCTGCCCACCTGAGAACGGGTGTACACATCCTTAGTCCCGGCACTGGACTGTGAATCAGTCACAAACTCTAGATTCAGCCGCCTCTAAAAAGTGTACCTCCCATGATTGCATGAGACTTTGAGGGGCAAGCTAGATATAAACCATAACACAAAGCCAGGGGGAGGATCTCATGTATTCTTTGATGGCTTGGTTTGTCATAAGAATGGAATGAATATTCATTATGCAAAGTATGACAGCAAGCTTTAAAAATATATTACACCCAGGCAGGGAGGCACACACCTGTAATCCCAGCTACTTGGTAGGCTGAGGCAGGAGGATCATAAATTTGAGATATTCCTAAATCTGAGAAGAAATAATTTAGTGAGATCTTGTTTCAAGATTTAAAAAAATAAAAGTTGGGAGAGGCTAGGTCTGTAATTTGTAAGAATCCTTACCTAGCATATGCAAGTCCATGTTCACTCCTAGCACCACCCTTTCCCCTAAACATTTCAAAGTGACTTTTCAGGATGTTGGCACTAACTGTAGTTGGTCTGCTCACTTTTGTAGAGAAGTTGTGATGGAACGGGTGCTATGTACTTCATAGGATGTGGTTACAATGCCTTTCCTGTGGGATCTGAGTATGCTGACTTCCCTCACATGGATGACAAGCAGAAAGACAGAGAAATAAGGAAGTTCAGATACATTGTACATGCAGAACAGAATGCCTTGACATTTAGGTATGGTTTTTACATATATTTTCTTTAAAATGTAGCAAAGGTTAGTTTAAATTAATTTTCCTCTGGTTGTAACTTACTTTCTTTTTTCTAACTCTAAGAAATAGTTTTCAGAAATATAATTTTGGGAAAATTTGGTCTTGCATGGGATGTGAGGGAGGTCATTGTCATAGATTCTCCAGGCCTTTTGAACACACTGAGAAAATCTTTTTATTTTTCTTCCCTCCTTCTCCAATATGAAACTACCGAAAGGTTTTCCTTAGTATCTTGGTCACTCTTTCATGCATGTGGAGATTAATATTGCCTTCTTTTTCTAAATCTAGAACACATATTTATGAATATCAGACTTTGTTATGAATCAAGTTCCTTTAAAAGAGCTTTTTTTGAAGGTTATAACTGGCATTACCTTATTATGTTAATTTAAGTCACTAGTACTAAGATTTCTCAGGATGTACCTTCAAAGGGTGATGCTAGGGGTTAAAAAACAGCTCCTATCTTGGAGCCCTTCTGATACAATAAGGATACAGACTGCGTCTGCCTAACCTGTGGATTCTAAGGGAGGGGCAAGCACCACGGGCTGAGAACCTGCAGAGGTGCTGCGGCCAAGAGGGGGCGATGCAAGGGAAAGCTGAATGAAAAACTGGCATTGAGCTGAACTTTTAAGGATTGCTAGCATCGTGGCAACTGCACACATTCCTTGAAGGGAAGACCATTCATGCTTCTAACATAAGCCATGGTCTAGAAGTAGGAAACTACATTACATGTTGGGAGCGTGTGTATCCCAGTTAGCTGGAATGTGGACACATGGTGAATAAACCTTACTGGTTAGGCTAGGATTCTACAATGTAGACTCCCTGTGATTGGCAGTGGGGACATGGAATTGTACTGACAAAATCATGCTCATAGACTGCGTAGGGTGGCAGGTGTATTGTTTGAACAAGATAGATAATGTAAAATTCTGATGCCCTAGTCCACATGGACAGAAATGAGATCTCGATTAAAACAATGGATATAAAAGGCAGAGAACTGGTACAGATCGCAGAACCTGGAGTTACAATCTCTGCATCCTCAAGTGAAAGCTTTCCTTAGTCCTAAACTTCTGCCAGCATGCAAATTTCACTAAAAATCTCCTGTTTTCCTTATCTTCCTTATTGCAAGTAATCCTGCTTCATTTTATACAGAATTATGAGTACATCACATGTTAAATAAAAGTATTCTACAGTAGGGAAGTATAAGTATAAATCAAAATATATTATTAGTTTAATTATCTTTAAATATCTTATACATACCAATTAGGGCTAGGCCTTTTGGCTGCAATGATAATTTGTTGTACTAATCAGACATGGTAACTCCCAAGTTTGAACCCCAATTTTTCCAGTATCATAGAGAAGTGTGTACTCACAAAGCATTCTTCCCCTGTACTAGTGATTGACTCCAACAAGCATGCTAAACAAGCACAATAAGCAAGACTCTACCACAGAGCTACATCCCCAGCCCTTTGGAGCATTTTTAAAAGTTTGAAACATAGTCCTGCTAAATTTTACATGCTGTCCTTAAGTTTGGGATTCTCCTGCCTCAGCCTCCCAGGTAGCTGAGATTATAGGAATGCAACACCATGCCAGGCTTATCGCTCCTCTCTGCTCTCCTCTCTTCTCTTTTCCTCCTCTCCCCTCTCTCCCCTTTTTTCTCCCCTCTTCTCCCTCTCTTGTCTGTCTCTTCATTGGCATTTACTTTGGAAGCTGATACTGAACATAACTGCCATAACTGCCAATGCCTAAATCAATGAATGAATTTTAGTTATAATGGCCAGGTTTTTACATACTTTGAAATTTACTAATTTAACAAGAATAAGGCCTGGTTATTGTTTATATGTTGTAAATTTGTTTTTTCAAAGAGCTTAAATTTAACTTTTAAAGATTACTCTGAAAAATAACTTAACCTTTCAGTAACTAACTTTGTAATATTTTATAAATTTTTATAGATGTCAGGAAATAAAGCCAGAAGAAAGAAGCATGATTTTTGTGACCAAGTGCCCATGTGATGAATGTGTGCCTTTAATTAAAGGTGCAGGCATAAAACAAATCTATGCAGGGGATGTAGACGTTGGAAAAAAGAAAGCAGACATCTCTTACATGAGGTTTGGTGAACTTGAAGGTGTTGGCAAGTTTACAGTAAGTAGATAACACATTTTTCTAAGCATACTCTGTGTTATATTGTTTAGTACCCTGCCACATATTGTAAAATAATGATTTCCACCCTTTTAAAAAATTTTTAATGAACTATTACGTTTAATTATTTGTACTCACAAACATTTACCTAACTAAATGTTCAGCTAAGGATCTCTGCCTTATAAATTTTAGATCTCTAGAGCTGGGCATGAACTTTGCATATCTTGAACCAGGGGCCCTTTGGTGCTATCTGATTAAAAAAAAGCGGGGGGAGAACGGTTAATGACACCACTTTTTTTCCCTTACTTTCCATTTTGGCTTAAAGGGTAGATAGAGGCAAAATAGTTTAAGATCCTCCAAATACAGGACACACACACACACACTTTTCTTATGAGGAAAATCAGCCTAATGTCACTCACCTTCAGAGTCTTAGAACATGACAGTATGTATACATCTTTATGCCAGAGTTGTATAAATGTCCTCTAGTCAAATTTCTGATGAAGTCCTTTTTCCTAACTGAAACCTTCTGAGTAAGGCCTTTTCTACACTCCTATCAGCATTCTAGTCTTCCAAATTTAGAATTCCAACCAGAGTCACCATAAGGCTCTGCTTATAGTGCTCTAGGTCTTCTTCAGACCTTTCCAAATTACTCCTGCAGCCAGTTTCACATTGTCAGGGACTAGTCAGTCACAGCAATAATTCACATCTCTGGTACCAATTTTCTGTGTTACCCCATCACCGAGACACAATCCCCAGACCCCCAGATCCCTTAATTTAAAGAAGGGAAGATGTAATTTGGCTCATGGTTTTAGGAGACTCAGTATATAGCCAGCTGGCTTCAAGGCAGAAACATCATGTTGGAAGGGTCCAGAAAAACAAAATGGCTTAATTTTTGGTGGCTAGCAAAGCAGAGCAGGGATAAAGTCCTGAGAGAAAAAAGGAGGGACTAGAAAGCTTCATGACCCACTCAACTGTAGCAGAAGTGTGCTCTACTAATCCTCTTGGGAGCTTTTAAGTCTTGTTGACAGTCAACCTTGTTTTCCTCTGTTCTTGTGATGAAGATTAGTTCTTCAGTCCCTTATCCTTTCTATCATCTGATCTGGCTTGAAATAATATACATAGTACATGATTAGCCAAATGCCTTGTTTTATAAATATCAGTAATTAATCTGAGTTAGTATTTGTTCTAACTCATAGGAATATCAGTAAATTTGATGTTAGTTTTTAATATTAAATTAATTGAAAGTATTATTTGAAAAGTTTTTGCCTTTCTTTTTATTTGTAACTATAGACATTGAGATAAGTGGTTCTGTCCTGTCCTTGAGATACAAAAAATGACAACACTGTTTTTTTGGGGTTTTTTTAATCAGTACCGGGGATCAAACTCATGACCACACGCTTGCAAGGCAGAAGCTGATGCCGCTGAGCTAAATCCCCAGCCCCGACAAGGGGAACACTGTTTTAAAGATTAGGTTTTATCAGTGTATATCCATGTCCAATTACTCAAAAATATTTTAATATATATGGATTTTTCTGTATTATGGTGTATTTTTTGAAATTATAAACATTATGAACATTATGATTATAGAATAGGAAAACAAAAAAGAATGTGTATTCTCATAACTCACAGATACCACTGTTAACATGTTACTGTATTTCTGTTTAAAATTCCTCAAAAATTATTTTTAATAATTATGTAACAAAAAAATGCTAACTATATAATAGTCCAGCCCATAAATGGTTAACTTACTTAACCATTTACCTATTATTGGATATCTAGATTGTTTCTAAATTTCTAGTTATAAAATGACTTTCTATGATTTGTTTTCAGTTTTAATTTTTTAGTAGTACATGTTTACATTACTTAATTATTACATTCCTCTTGGGGAGTTGGTACGTGTACATAGCATGTCTCAATTTGTTTCATTCCCTTTCTCTCCCCTCCCTCCATCTCTTTTTTTAAAACTGTCATTAGTACATATTTGCATTGCATAATGATCACATTCATCATAGGGAAGTTGTGCTCATTTACAAAAGCTTTGTTTCCACTTTTTCTCTCCCATTATTTTTTTTAAAACCCCTTTTTTCTTTATTCCCTTCGTCCCTTTATTTTCCTTCCCATCTGAACAATGCTTCGTACATTCTAGGATCTAGCCACTGTTTTGCTCCTTAGATAGCCATCGGGTTTCATTGAGAAACAATGAAATAGGTAAACTTGTGTGTCTGATTTATTTCACTTAGCATTATGGCCTCAGGGTGCATCCATTTACCTGTAAATGACTCACATTTATCCATATTTAAGACATGTATATTTATATACCGCATTTTCTTTATTCATTTATCTTTTGAGGGGTATGTGGGCTATTTATGTGGGCTATTTCCAAGATATAGCTCTAATAAATTATACTGTTATAAACACATCTTACTTACTTTTATTGCTGGGACAAAATACCTAACACTCAAAGTAAAAGTTTACTTTAGGTCACAGTTTTTAAAGGTTTCACAGTCAATAACCAGCTGGCTCCAAGACACTGTGGCACATGGCAGAGGGGCAGCAGTTCATGGCAGCAGAATACAGCAAAAACAACAACAGAGTGAAAGAGACAAGCTTCTTTCTGTCCCTTATATTGTATCCAGTCTACCAGGATTAAGATGATGCCAATCCAATCAGTGGACTGATCCAGCAGTCACTCACCCTTAATCCCAGTACTTTAATCCTAGCATTGCACTAAGAGTCAATCACATATTCTAGATTCAGCCACCTCTGAAAAAACTCCATGACCACATGAGGCTTTGGGGGGACATCTAGACACAAGCCATAACACATGTGAAAACATATATCACTGTTGTATGACACTTTTGACTCGTGGGAAGATGCCTAGAAGGGGCACAGTCGGTTGAATAGAACCTCTAATTCAGTTTTTAAGGAATCCCCATACTAATTTCCATAGTGATAGTATCAGTTTACATTCCCACCAACAATGGAGAAGAGTTCCTTTTTCCCCACAACCTCACCAGCATTTGTTATTGGTTGATTTCTTGATGAATATTCTTAAATGTAAAATCAAAATCATTTGCTTTTATTTTCTTTGTCCAAATTAATAGATTTTAGTGGTGCAACATGTCTCAAAACATAGAGTATCTCTTTTTTTTTAATAAAAAAATGTCTTAGATAACTTCCCACTCCTTGTAAATCCTTTTCTGTTATTAATCCTAGCTAATACCATTTCTAAAAGTGACCAAAAGTCTGAGGGCTTTTCATGCATGGTAAAATGTCTTATTGCATTCCACCTTGAGATGTTAACTAGTTACTCTGATGAAATAATTGATGTTTATGGGAGAGACTCACAAGTTATTAGTAGTTAATTGTGTCTTTCTGGAGACAGTGGTCACCAGAGCCTTTTCGTCCAGTCATTAGTGATTCTGATGAAGATTTATGCCAGGTAAAACCGGAAGGGAGAGTTGTACTAGGGACACTGAGGACCAACCCCTTCACCCCATTCCAGTCTTCTTGGTAATATCAGCATCTTCAAACTCCCACTTCTTTCTGAGTGTTCGAGTTGGAATACTGTAACCATAAGAAATGTATGACATTCCACTCCCACTGCTTCACTTGACTAGCCTTAAAAAAAGAGAAATGTATGACATACGATATATTAAATAATATTACAAAGTTGTATGATATGTTTTCTTTAATTATATTAAGTAGCAAGATAATATTGCTCATATTTTTATTCTCTAACACCAAGGCCGCCTTTAGCTATTATAAAATTTGATAGAACCTAGATTTAGACTACGTTTTAAGAATTCCATGGTACTGGGCATGGGCAAGTCCAGGTTCTACTTCAGCACTGCCTTCTGTGTAACCTGAAATAGATCACTGCGGTTCTTAAATTTTCCATTTTCTTAGCCATGAAATGAATGTAAAGAATCATTAAGGTCCCTTTCCTCTCTAAGATAGGTATTGGTTTTGATCCCAGAAGCCATACCATTTAGGATCATTCAGGATGTTATTGTTAGAGCACCGTTGATATAGATATGCCAACTCTATTTTCTTTTAATACTTAAAGATGTTTTAAAATTTAAAGGCAAAGTGCTAAAATGTTATTCATGAAATTTATTTAAATAAAATATTTGTATCCTCTTATAGTGGCAACTGAATCCATCTGATGTTTATGTTCTTGAAAACAATGAGCCTGAAAGGAGAGACAGTAAGTATTTAGGAGTCTTAAACTGAGTTTAACTTTGTTGCTGAGAAATGTGTATATACACAGTGAGTGTTCAAGATCAGATGATAGAAATTGTTATGTTAATAGATGGAGCATATTCCTTTCACTGGTTAGGTTTGTGCTTATTTGTATACGTACTATATGCAAGGTACTGTGAAAAAGTGCTGACTAATAATTAATCCTGTTGAATCTGCAGTTTAACCCAAGTAATCAAGTACAAATTGAATTTATCAGTAAAAGTTTTTGTGAAATAGCATATTGCATAGCAATATTCTGCTATGCAAAAACAAAAGTGTTTAGATTTGAAAAAAAATATATATGTATACCCTTGTAGAATAAAGCCACATATGTCTAGGTTCATCAGAGAAGGCAAATGTTATTGATATTTTAATAATATAAGATTAATCACAGCTACCAGCTAGTTTTTAAAGTTTTATTTGCCCATTAATGTAACTTTTGAATGTAATGTAATCTTTGGGAGACCTTATAATTCCTTAAGCACATAATTCTGGACATGAGTGTCATATAATACTATTTAAAAATAATAGCTTAGCCAGGCATGATGCCATACTCCTGTAATCCTAAGACTCTGGGAAGCTGCAACAGGAGATTCAAGTTTAAATCCAGGCTGGGAAACTTGGTGAGACCCTGTCTCAAAATAAAAAATAGAAAAAAGGCTGGGGATGTGGCTCAGTGTGAAGGTCCTAAAAAAAAAGAAAAGCTAGGTAAGTGGAAGTGTACTATAAATTTTCCTGATGATTTGATTACTCTAAAAAATCAAATATTAAGGTCTATGGAAATACAAATGTCTTGATTTACTGTGTTCTGAATTAGCTTTAGTAAATTTATTGTTTATAATTTTGAAAAATATATATTATCTGTTTTCTTTTTAAACATTTATCAAGAAAGAAAACAAAACAAAGGAAAATATATGAATCTAATTAAATAACGTATGTTCAATGAGAATGTTTGAAGGAGTTAAATTATTTATATGGTTAGAGAAAGGATATACAAAACAGTAATCATAAAAATGAAATACTTTATCTGTGTTAAAATTAATGCTACTTGTTCATTAAAAGATACTATTAAGAAGGCACAAAGGGAAACCATGGACTAGAAAATATTCGTCACTTATAACCATGAAGGGCTTATGTACAAGGTTATCATCCCAGGTCCCAAAGGAGAGGTAAAGAATGCCGAGTCAAAGTCCTGAGACTGGCCGCAGCCAGAGAACAGCCTCTGGCTCACTGGTGGTGTTTTGTTTATTGATCTATATGGTGGCTCTGTGTGTGTTTGCTTTATGATTGTTCATTAAATGGTGACTTTATGTTTCTGTGCATTTTTGAACAAATATTTTACATCAGTAAGTAATATCCTCAAATCCTTTTCAGTTGTATAATAGCTTTACTGGGATATAATTCACATATTTTAAATTCATTCTTTTAAAGTATAAAATCTGAGGGCTGGGGATTTAGCTCAGGCATAAGTGCCTGCCTGGCCAGTGCAAGGTCATGAGTTCGATCCCTGGTACCACACACACAAAAAAAGTATAAAATCTGGTGGCTTTTAGTACATTCAGAGTTGTGTAACCATCACTGTCAGCTAATTTCAGAACATTTCCACTGTTCTAGAAAGAAACCCCATTTGCGGTCACAATGCATTGTCCCCTACCTCAGCCTAGGCAACCACTAATTTACTTCATGATTTTATGGATGAATTTGTCTAGTCTGGCCATGTCATAGAAACAGAATCATAACAGTATGTGGCTTCTTTCCAGTTTTCGTTCTGTTGAGAAATAGACATAAAAATGAAACAGGCACAAGTTGAAGCCCTAGCTTTATTTGCTGTGCTGAGGCTTGACCTTTGGCCAGGTCCATCTGTCTGAAGGCGGGTGCCAGGCTTCATGCCCTCTCAATGCCAGTTTGAGGAACAGAAATAGAAGGGAGGTGGCAGTGTGAATGACTGCTCCCAAGTGTCCTGCTCTGTAGAACTAGGATCCAAATGACCCATAGTGAGCATTCTTTAAAAAAAAATCACTGAGCTTTCAAGAAAGCAAGGGGAAAACGAAAGAAAAAAGAAAACAAGGGAATATGCAGGCACTCGCTCATAACCCTGCAGTGCAAAAAGAGGAACGTTTACTAGAATCTGAACTATAAGCAACTATAAGCAAGCACAAAGGCAGGATAAACATGGGCCCAGATGTCCACGTCAGCTGGATTTTGAGTGTAAGTAGGAGCCTGTTAAGTGCTGAACTGTACATAAGCTGGGGGCCCTTACAGGAAGCTGCAAGGCTCCCATTTAGGTACAACTCCTGGCAGAAGGAAGTTGAATTCTGTCAGAAGGAAAGTGACTCAGTTGAGACCTACAGGATACAAGAAGATATGAATTCGTAATTGAAAACTGGACGAAGTGGGAGAAAATACACTGCAGAAGTGAGAGTGAATCACAAAAAACAGCATAGTTAGACTCCAGAGACGCAGGGGTTATCAAGTAGACTGTAGAAAATGTTAAGAAGTAAAAGGTGCTGTTTTTAAAAATGAGCAGGAAGAAACTATTATTTAAAAATAGTTTTGAAAAGCATCTGATAGAATTAGAAATTTAAAATATAGTTAAAAAGTCACTGGGCAAGTTAAGCAACTTTATTACTGGGCATATGGTTAGTATTTTGATACGTCTCTTTAATGTGGTGCACTGTTCCATTAGTTATGAGTTAGCATCCTGACAGAGAGGGCCATTCACATCACAGGGACCCCAGTAGACTACTTAAAATATAGTCATGGTGTGCTCACTTCAGCGGCACATATACTAAAATATTAAAGGATAATCCATGTAGGAAAAATGATAATGAATTCTGATCTCTCATAATACTAAATATGATTCCCTCATGAATTAAAGGTAAGAGGAAAAGCTAACATTTTTCAAGTTTTAGAATAAGATACAGAATATCTTCATGATTTGTAATAGAAAGAATAAATATCTTTATGATTTATAGTAGAAAGAACAACTTATGCAGAACACAAATAATACTGGCTATAAAGGAAAGGATTGAGAAACCAATATACATTCCAGTTAAGGACTTGTCTTTACCGAAAGACATTACAAAGAAAGTGGAAAGACCAGTCATCCACTGGAAGAATAGATTTTTTTCCACATATAATAGTGAGTTGGTTTCCAGAACATGTAGTAAAATCCCACAAATTTATAAGAAAAATTAATAAAGAGTGGTAGTTATTAGTATTTCATAAGCACCAAAATATAAGTGTCTGAGAAACACTAAAAAGATGATCACACTCACTAATGATGAGAGAAATAAAAATTAAGGTCACACTGAAATAGTGTTTTATACCCATTACATATACACTGTTAAGTTTTCCAGTAAGGGTACGAGTGAGGAGGTGGGTCATTGGAAATTTTTATGTTACTGGTGAGACTGAAAATTTTACAACCACTTTGGGAAATAAATTGACATTCTTGGTGAAGTTGAACATGCATATGCCCCACAACCTAGCAGTTCAGCTTCTAAGTATGTGCCCTAAAGAGAGTCTTGCATTTTATGTAAGAGACAGAAAAACAAATAACTGATTGAAATGTTATTCTTCAAAGCAAAAAGTGGAAATAATGGAAATGCTTATCTTGGGAGAGTATATGAAAATACAGTATATTCCCACAATGAATTGTTACACAGTAGTAAAAATATAGTTATACATTTTTTAACATAGATGAATCTGGGGGTTCATTTTTTCCTTTGTTTGTTTGTTTTTTGAGACAACGTCTCCCAAAGTGGCCCAGGCTGGCCTCAAACTTGAGATACCCCTGCCTGCCTCATGTTCCAGAGTGCTAAGATTATAGCATCACATGCAACTGAGTTGGTTTTTAAGTGTTTCGTGTGGTTATTAGGCTTTTGAATTCCTATCTATATTCTTTTTGAAGAAAATGTTTCAAGTATTACATAGAGAAACAACTGAGAGAGATAGAGGGCTCCCAGATACATACTGGTGGGCAAAGCTGAGGTGCCCAGGTGTCTTCGGGCCTGAGAAAGAACAGAGCAGACACACTGGTGTGGCCAGGAGGCAGATCCCTCCAGAGACTGACAGGAAGGGCAGGAGGAAACGGGAAAGTAGTAGGCGTTTTCGTTGCTTTGGCTGTGGCTGTAGTTCGTTAGATATGTACTCATCTCAGACTCAACAGATTGTTCACTTTACATATCTTGAGTTTATTTTAAGCATATAGTTTATTGCATCAATAAAGCTATTAAAACAAAAATTAAAGAAGTTGAAGTCAGGTTCATGTCCTATCCTGCCCAGGGCAGATTAGGTCATTGTCCTTCCATAGAGGACTGTGAAGGGGAGAAGCCCAATCCAGTTCCTTCCTGTTTGTAGGATGTGTGTGAATTTTGTTTCTTCCAGCGTAATAATGACTTTCCACCCCTCAAAATGTTACATAAATTATTTGCCATACATCATTGAGTGAGGGTCATCATATACCTGATTACTTGTGAGTTATCTAGAATCAATATTGATTGAAAAAATACTTGAGTGTAGAATACTAAAATGGTTGATAATTTGAAGGTAAAATAAAATGTATGTTCCTTTACTTAAGCATTATTTTGCTTTTTCAACCTTTGTGGCTGAAACAAGCCCCTTGAGCTGGAAGTGACGCTTCCTGACATGGGTTATTCTTGCGCGCTAGACGGTGTGTTGCAAGCCACGCCCATGAGTGAAGAGGAGCATCTCAGCAAGAAGCTGCGCCTGGAGAAGCGGGCGGAGGGCCTGGCCATGCTGCAGTGAGGCCTGGACTGGGACTGCGCGCCTGCACTGCAGCCTCGTGACCCAGAAAATAAGGAAAGACTTTGTGAATCACTGACAGGTTTTTTAGGATATGTTATCAAGAATATTTTAACTTAGATTTATTTATGTATTTTCTACAGTATGGCAACGTAGTCCTTTATTATACAAATGAGATAGCAGGAATTTAAGGAGACCAAGGTACTTACCAGCAGAGACACATTTCTGTTGATCTTGAATTGATAGGACAGGTTTAAAAGGGATTGGTTCACTGGAAGTCACACCTGAAGGTGTAACTATATGCCTTTTGAGAAGTATTAATTCTTTTGGATTACAAGGGTGACCATTAGTAAACTGCTCCAAAAGATAAATGACAATCTGGTCATCTTTTAAGAGTCCACATATAGCTAACCAAAATGTGATATTTCAATCCAAATCTGCCTCGTAATTCACTTAATTAGGACTGACTCGTAAAGTTGGTGGACCTAGTCTCCATTTTAAAAGTATATTTTTTCAAATGTTAATTTCTTGGCTGGGGGTGTAAATCAGGAGAATGTTTGCCCAGCCTGTGCAAGGCCCTGGGCTCAAGTCCCAGCACTGCAAAAGTAAAATAACATAAAATAAAATGTTAATTTCTCTTAAATATTTCAGTATATGATTCACAAAGATGTGTTGAACTAGGACCCAGTTATGGCACTTATTTTTGGTAACAGAAGAAAGAGAATATTTTTCTGAGGCAAAATTGCTGTTTGGTATCACTGACACTTGAGATCACTAACAGTGACCTTCAAGGCTGGTCATGATGTCACAGAGAAGAAATATTTTACTGTGAAATATTGAAGCCAACAGTTTTAGAATTTCATTAATAAATTTCATTTATTTTCCCTTTCCTATTACTAACATGGCTTTGACCTTAAAAAAGAAGGCCTACCTGCCTTGCAAGCAGATGGTCGTGAGTTCGATCCCTGGTACCGATAAAAAGGAAAAAGACAAAAAAAAAAAAAAAAGAAGGCCTTTTAAGAACCTTTGTAAGCTTTAAGAATACTGAAAGTCTTTGAAGTAAACAGATCCATTTCAAATTGACCTTTATAATTTCTCTCATTTTGATTTGCTGAGTAACTTTTAGAAAATTTGAATCAAAAGATGAGCATGTGATCTGTACTTTCCTAGGGTTCTGGAGGGAGGCTCACAGACCTGGGGAGTGGCATCCTGAGAAACAGCTCCCCTGCCTGTGTGGAGGTATTTATTTGCCTTCTCTTTTTATCCCCTTTTCACAGCATGACCTCAGGGGACCTGCTACCAGTTTTTCAGAATTACATACAGGACAATACAAAGGTCAACCAGGTGTCCTGGGTTGCATAGCAACCTGCTTCTGTCCCCTGGGATTTCAAAGTCATCAATCATATACCACACAGTTGAGAAGTGCCATCAACTTTTATATGGATTTGGGCATGGAATAGGGGAGGTATGAGTGGAGTGTGTGCAGGAGAAGTACCTTTAGACATAATTAATGTCAATTTGAAAGCCCCTAGTTAAACTATACTTTTTTAAAATCAACATAAGATTGTTTTTTAAACTTTTATTTATACATGCTTAAATTCTTGAATTCATTTTATTACTAATATTTCATCTATGCCAAGTATCTTATAAATCAGCAAATATTTTTTAAGACTCAAAATCCTGTTATATGCTACTAGATTTGTGGATTTATACATTGGGTGTTGGGATGAGATATGATAAGGTGGAAGCGTACAGCTGGGGAAACTATGGTTAGGAATTGGAAGGTTGGTATTTCCATAATATTATTAAAATCATTCATGTTAATGACACTTTTCTTCTTGCTTAATAACTTCAGCACATAGCACCGGAAGGTAAGTTCTGTGAAGGCATGCAGATTTTATATACACAGAGCAGTCTCTACAAAATACTCCTTTAGCTGCCCTCCGTGGTACCTCGGTTCACAAACTCAATCCTTTCCTCAATTATGGTCGCAAACTAAACTGGATGAGAACTGAATCAAATTTCCCCATAAGATCAAGATTGAACCCAACCACTGAATTTGATTTGGTTCTTGTCCAACTCAGTTTGCAACTAGGATCCTGTAAAGAATCAAGTTCGTAAACTGAGGTACTATTGTAATCCTAATGCCTGGCACATAATAAACACTCAGTATACATTTGTTGATTCATCAATCAATTGCTAGACTAAACCCTGGGAATGAGCTATGCAAGAAATGCCCCAGTCTCAGCGATAATTGATCCAGTGGAAGATACAAGCATAATAATAAAGAGAAGTGATTCCAAGCACAGTCCCTGACTCTGCATCATCAGCATCCCATGGACCCTTGGTAGACTTGCACATGCTTGGGTCCCACCCCAGACCTATTGAATCAGAACCCCTGGCTCCATCCAGCAAGCTGGGTTTTCACAGCCCCCAAGGGATTCTGGTGATCTTTGAGTCTCGTGTAATTATACAAGCAGTGGTGATGCAAGAGGACTTTAAACACTCTAGGGATTCTTGGAAAGATCCTTATAGAAGCCAGAGTGCCAAAGTGGATCCAGAGAGGCGGTCAGGTTTTACCAAGCAAACAACAGGAATTCAGTGAACTGCGAAAACTGTGGAAATAGATGGCCACCCTGTAGTCGGACAGGAAAATGGCTGGGCAGCCCACAAGAGGTGTAGAACCCAGAGCCCACCTGGGCTCGCAGAAGCTACGCGTAGCAGTGTGGACTCAGTCTGCACATTTCTAGGCAAAAGTCTTCATCCCTTAGCTAAGATATCAACATGCGCCTCCATATGAACAGAAAACGTAGTGCCTCCCTTAATTTCCAAGTTGAGGACGACGATGGCAAATTCATAATTTGTAAAGAATGGTTGTATGGGAGGGGACTATGCACTTGCCTGGTGTATTCTATGTCTGTCTTCTGAGTAAATGTGGATTTATATGTTTTTATCGTTAAAACTGCTAAAATTTTTTGGCAAATCTGACTTTTCTGTGTTTTTCTTACTCAACATACTGAGTTTGAGGATACACCATTCACTCATAAGGCCTTTTCTTTTTATGCATAAACAGTTTTGCCTTAGGATGAGCTACGACCATCTGCTTTTGACATAATTTAGAATAAGTGGCATTAAACACCAATTATTAAGAATCCTAGTATTGCTAGTACTGGCCCCTGGTCATTGAGCTATGATAGTTACTGCTGTGTTTTAGGACTAAGCAAATATCAATTAGGAGTTTCATTTCAAGTGCAAAAGATCTTGTGATCTTTTTTCTGTCATTTAAAAATATAAAGTATTGTCAGGCATGATATTACACACTGTAATCCCAACACTCAGGAGGCTGAGGCTGGAGAGTTATAGTGAGTTGAGACCAGCAGGGGCTACCTATTAAGTTTAAGGATAGTGTGAACTACACTACACTCTCAAAACACATCAATAAACAATAAAATCAGAAAGTATTGCAGACATATAAAAAGATACCTAGCATGCAGTATTAATGTATGTTACCACTTGGACTAAATTATACTATAATTTTATAATGTAGTTCCTAATTTTGTGACCCAGGGTGGAGCCTTGCTCTGAATCTTTTCTGCATTTGCTCTCAAAGGTACCTCCTGGATTTCTGAAAGGACATTCATGCTCATTGCAGGGCTGCAGGATTGCAGCCAGATCTGGAGGACCATTCCTGACAGAGTTGCCTTTATGCCTCCTCCTAGAAGATTCTTTTGAGCTAGTTTGTTCTAATTCATTACCTTTTGCCTTTCAGATTTCTCTCTCATGATAACATTCTCTCATGATAACTTTCATAGAGGCAAAAATAACCAGTTGCTCTAACATGGGGCAACCTAGTTCTGGCTGGCAAAGACCTGTGGGCTGGGAGTTCTGGGGGATTTCTGACTCTGTGCCTGACAGCTCTCCAGGTACATTTGGTCTGCTGAGACACGGTATAGGAAGTGCCCTCACTTGATCTGGGGAGGCCTGCTTTGCTACCTAAGGAGATTCTGAGTGGGACAGCCAAAAAATTGCCCCGGTTGAAAGCCATTATGAGTATTTAACAAAAAAAAAAAAAAAAAAAAAAAAATAGAAACATCTTACTGCATATAACTGTGGCACCAATGGCTTTTTAAAGTATCAAAATTTGAAGATGACAGATTTCACTGTATTATGTTTTAAAAGGCTTCTAAAAATTAGTTTTCCAAAGTCAAAGGTGGGGAAATATGCTCTACCTCTTAATGGGAGGACCTTAATGGGAGGACTTTGGTTCACAGAGTAAGGCAGATAACGTCCTTGATCCAGTTCTGACATCGAGCCTCAAGGGTTCTTTGTGTTTGCACTGATTCGGTTTGTTTCTGCTGCCATCAAACACCAACACAGAGCCGCCCCCAGACAGGCCAGCCTAGATGAGGCGTCCAGTGGCCAGTCCACAGACCTGTGAGCAAAAAACCCAGCATTTCAGAGGACTTGTTACTCAGCATCTGGTTAGAGATAGTGATGGTTGATTGTGTCAACCTGAGTAAAATTTGGCTCAGCAGTTCCACACCCTAGGGGCTGGCTGGTGTGAGGGGAACTGAGGAAGGACAGACCTGCTCCTGTTCAGAGGAGCTGCAGTCTTGGCCTTCACCTTGGATGCCATCTCCTGGCTTGCAGCACAGCTCTCCAGCCTCCGTTGCAGACCCTTTGGCCTCCTGACACCGATTCGCGCAGGACACTGAAGTGAGCTCCGGATGTTGGACTGGACCCTTCAGTCTCTGGTGTGCAGATACCCCCTGTATTCTCCCTCAGCTGAGTCCATGGGCCGCTGTTGTACCAGTCTTGTAAATTCTTACCTGTTTGTATATCTTGTGGTACACCTCTTTCTCTAGTAAACACTGATGCCTTTCTCCAACTTTCAAAACATGGTCTTCCCTTAACCCACTGTGCCTTTGTTAATTGAAAGCGTGTGTTAGCATCCTCAGTGACCTCATCTTACCTTGTTCCACAAAAACAAGGTTATTTTGTCACCCTCCCAGGGTGCTCCAGCCCCTAAGGACCTTCTTCCTTCCTACCCTCCTTTCCCTCTGCTTCCCACGGAAGGAACCTCATCCTGTCCCATGACCTGGAGGCCACCACAGTACAGCTCAGTGTGGGGCACGTGGCTGGTGTTTTAGGTAGGGAAAGACTGGAACTGGAGGAGAACTGGACCAGAACTGGAGGCACTGACTGGACCCCAGACAGGAAGGTCCTGGTTAACCAGGTTAGAGGAGAAGTAGCCCAAGGCATTCCTGTCACCAGGAGCCTTGTTAGAGCAGTAGGCCTCTATGGGCAGACTTGGTTTTGTTTGGTTCTTGTTTTGGTGCTGGGGTTTGAACCCGAGGCTTCCCAGCCACACTCCCACCCCGGGGCCTGGTTGGTCTTCTTGTCCTTTGTGCTCAGAGACAGAACTCCGCGTGGAGTCCACCACGCAGCCTGTCGCACTCCTCCTCAATCTTGGAGCCACTTGTCAGAGTCGTGGCACTGGTCCTTTGCTCAGTGAGTGAGTGCTGTGCCCAATCAAATCACCTTTCATACTGACTTAAAAGAGGCTCCACGAGGATACAGTAAAGAACGTTATTTATGTGAGCCAGCAGAGGGCGATATATCCCAGAAATGGATGCTTAGAAGAGAAACTAGAATAAGCGCTGTTAGATTCTACGGGATCTGGAAATTCAGAAGATGGAAAGCACAGGAAGGAAGAGTAGATCACACTGGGAACAGCAGATGGCTGTGGACCCGTCGGCAGGAGAGAGAGAGTCTGGCAGGGAGAATGAAACCACAGGGAGGGGTGGGGACCACTTGGAATGACACGATCTGTGTGCACAGCCCGTCAGCACGCGGTGAGGGAGGAGAGGGGGTGGGCTGGCCCCACGGGAAAGGACCAGGGTCCCCACAGGACACGGGGGACAGAAGCATGCGGTGAGCGCGCAGGCAGGGGAGGGTCTCCAGGGTGACTCCCAGCGCCCGGAGCAGGCTGCAGCAGGCCTGACGAGGACAGTGCGGTGAAGTTGGGCTTCGCACAGAATGTCGTTCCTGCATTCAGAAATACTCAGCATTTGCTACGCCCAGCACAGGGACAGATCCTGGGGCGGGTACGTGAAGAAAGCATGCCCCTCACACACACTGAGATCTGCACCCTAAGGAGAGGCACGCGGGAAAGTGGGAGCCGGAAGCCCGGGAGGGAAGATTCAAGTTGAGAGAGGAAGGATGAGAACGAGAAGCGGTCACGAAAGAAGGCCGGGAAGAGGGTTCCGGCAGAAGGAACCCTGAGGTAGGAGCTGGAAGCACCAGCCTTGCTGGGACTTGCTGGAGGAGGGAGGCAGGGCCAGGTATGGCGGTGCTTTGAGGATGGTGTACAAGCTTCCCCTGGAGGGGTGGGGAGGGGAGCCATGCCGGGTCTGACCTACACGCTGGGCTCACTTAAGGTGCTGGGGAGGTGGGTGCAGTCCCGGTGGGCAGGCTGACAGAGGAGAGCTCAGACTTGGTGCTTGGCACAAGGGGAAGTGCCCCTGTAGCTCAGTGTGGGTGAAAGGCAGAGACTCTTGCAGGACTTTTGGTTTCGGGCACGAACAACTAGGGGAACTAAAGAGCCATCCGCGGGGCTGGAAAACACAAGTGCAAAGAAACCACGGTTCTGCTTCGGACTTGGGAACCTGTGAAAGTGGGAGGCTGTGGGGCCACAGGTGGGTGTGAGCACGGGCTCAGAGACTGGCACAGGCAGTCTGGAGTGTGGCGTTTGTGCACAGATTGTAGACACATAGAGGAGTTCTGGGGAGGACAGAGCCGAGGCATGGTGCTCCTTGGATGAGGAGTCAAGCATAATGGTGCCCACAGAGAAGACCTGAGAGAATTCAGCAGTGTGGCGAGAGGCCCTGTTTGCCTGCAGCTGAGAGCGAATCTCGTGAGGACAGAACATGGCTGATGACTCTGGTGACACTGAGGCCTTTGGAGTGTTCTCAGGGAGGAGGGGGAGGCCACAAGCCTGGCTCCTGGAGGTGAGCGAGGGTAGCTCACTTGTGTAGTAGTAGACGAGTTTCACTCTGACGGGGCACAAGTGATGGCACAGGCTCTGGAGTGGACAGGCTGAGCACTCGGGGAAGGGTGTGTTTCTGATGGGTGACCGGATCTGTGGAGAGCAGAGGCCAGGAGGTGCCCAGGCATAGTGGGGGATGAGGATCCCTGTGGGGACCGAGAGAAACAGAGGCTTGAGCCAGGGGTGTCAGGACTGCTTACTGAAGGCCATTCCCTGGAGTTTGCTTCTCTCACAGCGCTTGGGTAGGTCAGCAGCTCTCAACAATTTTTATTTGATGGACGCAGGAGAAAGGGAACCATTAACGATCACATCAGTGAGCTGGGTTATGCCACATGGGAGGCTGAGGCAGGAAAATCACAAATTCAGCCCTAAGCAATTTAGTGAGATCCTGTCTCAAAATAAAAAAATAACAGGGGATGTAGCTCAACATGAAGGTCCTGGGTTCAACCTCAACAAAGAAAGGAAGGAAGGAAGAAACTGAGAGAGAGAGAGAGAGAGAGAGAGAGAGAGAGAGAGAACATCAGTGTCTGGGGGCTGGGGATTTAGCTCAGCAGCATAAGCGCCTGCCTTGCAAGCAGGCAGTCGTGAGTTCAATCCCTGGTACCGATAAAAAGGAAAAAGACAAAAAAAAAAAAAAAAAAAAGAACATCAGTGTGTGGGTGACATAGAGGCAGCACAACTGACCGAAGCTGGGAAGTTCAGAGGGGAATTGGGGTGAACCCATTTGGTTTGAATCTGTGTGGGTTTGGGATTGTGGTCAAGTATACAAAAATGGAGAAGTCCAAAAGGCAGCTGGAAATGGAAAGAGTGCAGTGTTATGGCTGGAAAAATAGATGCTGCCCAGAAAGAGCCTGCTGAAAACTTCGAAAGACTTCAGAAAGAGGAGCAGAGGCCCAGGAAGGTAACTGAAGATTCCCCGAGAGCATTGATGGCAAACCTTTCAGAGTGTTCAGTGACACAGGCCGGAGGGGCACGCGTGCGTAGGTTCGCCACCACCCTCTAGGGCTCGTGTGGCAAAGCAAATGGGCGGCCTCTCTCCAGGACTACTGGGATGAAGTGGACCCCTCTCCAGGACTACTACGATGGCACCAGCAGTCACAAGCCTCAGAAAGATGCGTGACATTTTGGGTTCTAGGATTTCTTACAAGGAAAAGATCATGGACAGGTATAAACATTTTAGTTGTAAAGACATGTGTAGTGGCCTGAGTTTTGTAAAAATGCTACCCTGTATCTAATTGGCAATGAGAATGGTGTAATTATACTGTGGTATGCTATGTAGCTATAAAAGGGCACGCTCAGTGAATATTAAATAATATTATATTACATTAATATAGCAATTTTAGTGAATTATAATTCACATGATCGCTGGCAATATATGATTCAGTGACTTTTAGTATATCAATTCATATATATGTGCCACCACTACCACCAGTTTAAAAACATTTCTATCACCTCAAAAAGAAACCTGTACCCCTTAGCTGTAATCCCTCTGTCTACCCTTCACATCTTCAAGTCCCATAGTAAGTGGCTGCTATGGTTTCCCCCTCTAACATTCATGCTAGAAGTTTTGTCTGTTTTGTTTGGCACCAGGAATCAAACTCAGGACCTTGCACTTGCCAGGCAGCGCTGTGCTGCTGAGCATATCCCTGGCCCTTTCATGCCGGAATTTCATTGCCAATGTAAGCACATTAAGGTGTGGAGCCTTTAAGAGGTAATTAGGGCTCCTTCCTCTTGGGTGGGATTGGTGCTGATTCTCTCATCCTTTTGTCTCACACGGCCTCAGCTGGTCATAGCACTTCTCCAGAGGTGGCTGAATCCAGAGTGTGTGATGCTGGGATTAAGGCTGTGTGATTAGTAAATCAGCCCACTCATTGGTTTGACATAGTTTTTGTTATGGCTGCAGAAAATAGACCAAACAGTGATCCTTTGCAGCTGACTTCCGTCACTTAGCATGTTACCTCGAGATTCTTCCACATTGTAGTATGCATTGGTGCTCACTTGTTCTTACAGCTATGTCGTATTTTATTGGATGGCTGTAGCATATTTTGCTTAATCACTTATCAGAGTGTAGGTTATGTTTTTTCCAGCTTTGGGCTATTATAACTAATGCTGTAATCGTTTGTGTGTAAGCTTCAGCGCGGACATACGTTGTCATTTCTTCTGGGTGTATACCCAAGCAGAGCTGCCAGGCCATAGGGTAACCCTGTGTTTACCGTATGAGGAGCTGTCAGAGTGCTTTCCATAGCAGTCACACCATGTTACATTTGCAGCACAGGGTGAGGGTTTCAGCTTCTCTGTATCCTCACTCATTGCCTGACCTTGTGATTCTAGCAATTTGGCTGTGAAGTGACGTGTCACTGGATCTTTTCATGTGTTTATTGGCCATTTGTGTATCTTCGTCTTCTTCTTCTCCTTATTATTATTATTATTATTTTCTTTTTGAGACAGAGTCTCACCATACAGTTCAGGCTGCCTTGAACTCACTTTGTGTGGTCCATACTGGCCTCAAATTTGCAGTAATCCTCCTCGTGAGTGCTGGGATTATAGGTGTATGTCACCACGCCAGGCTGTGAGTCTTCTTTGGAGAAATAGCTTTAAGTTCTTTGCTCATTTTTAAATTGGGTTGTCTTTTTTTCTCACTGAGTAGTATAATGATTCTACTTTTGTTAATAAAAAAAAGTATGCATCCAAAAAGGCTGACATGATATTGTTGACAGTGTCTGTCTCTGTGTAGTGAATTAGAAGATTAAAATAATTTAATTTTTACCTGTATCTTTGGAATATTTTGCAGTGAACGTATTTTTAAAAAAACAAGGTATATGAAGAAAAGGAGAAGGAGCTATGGTATGGCCAGAGGGTCTAGAAAGCCACAGTGTTGCCAGGTGGCAGGGACTGGGAACTTTACTACAGGAGTTACTTTACCAGACGGCACCCTGCTGGCTTCTCTGCAGCTTTTTGAACACCAGAGATAAGGGAAGATTTGGCAACAAAGACAGAGGAGGTCTGGTCAAGTTACCATCAGACACATGAAGAAAGAAGGAAGGGGTCTATTATGCAGAGCCCTGATCACTGAATCCTGGCAGTATTCACCACCTGTAATCCTGCTACTCAGGAGGCTGAAGCAGGAGGGGGTCGTAAATTTAAGGTTAGCCTATCAGCATGCCTTCCTTAGGGTCCGCCTCCAAATCAGTGCCAGGGGTGCTAAGACTGCAGTGCCCCATTGCTCCATGCCTCAACATCCTCTCCTCCTCCCCACCCACGAGAGTGGGCTTCAAATTCACCCAGGGATGAACATGATACAAGAGGAGCGCATCACATCCTATCAGGAGAGGTGATAAACGAACAGTAGAGGAGCATCCTCTGTCTCTGTCTCTGTCTCTCTGTCTCTCTGTCTCTCTGTCTGTCTCTGTCTGTCTCTGTCTCTGTCTCTCTCTCTCTCTCTCTTTCTCTTTCTGTCAACAGGTATAGCCCAGGCTGGCCTTGAACTTGTGGCAATCTTCCTACCTCAGTTTCCCAAGTGCTGGAATTACAGGCATGTACCACACTACAGCTGGCTGGCTGTCCCATTTGAGTTATGTGCTAAGTGTGTTGGTTTTGAGACAACATTGGTGACATCCTTCTTTCCATGTGGGTAGGTAAATAGGTACTTTTTGCATAAGCTAATTTGAGCTGTGTGTTTCTATCTGCAGATGAAAATGTCCTCATTTAAACAAGGTCCCTTCAGTCATCCTGAGTGACAGTCAAATGGTGGGTTTTGAATGATACTGTACAATGACCAGAGTAGATGACAGAGCAGAAATGAGAAAGGCCAGCTGAAGGTGGAGAGCTACAGAGTAAGTTTTCTAAGGAAGAGATGAGGAAAAAGTATTCAAGGCAAAGCAGGTGGGTGAAGAGGCACAGACATGGCATGTGCAGGTAGAGTGGGAACGGGAGGGTCAGCATCCACCGTGATATATGGAAACAGACTTATTACCCAGAGAAGCTGGGCTGAGGATTTGGAGTGTGACCAGGGAAAATATGCAGAGAACTCAGCAGTATGCAAGTACTGCTAACAGTGCCTCCAAGAACTGTCCCATCAAGACTGTCCCTGTTACAATTCTAGTCCATCTCTTTCTGTGGCTTGTTGTTAACTTTTTGAAACACAGACCTTTTTGTCTTTGTGTAGGCAAATTACCGTGAGCTAGATTTGCACACCATATTGGCACAGTACTAAAGGATTAGGAGGATTGGGTTTTGAGTGCTGACTGCAGCCTTTGGGGCACACAGGCAGCCTCACTGTTAGTCCTAGGACCTTGTCGTGTGACTTGCAGATGCTTCATTCTGGGAACATTCACTGGCAGACTTGGCTCTTGAGGCTGGGCAGGGCCCTTCAAGACAATCCTCTCCCAGTGCCTCCTCTGAGAGGGGCTGCTTAAATCCGGGTGGACCTGCAGTTCGGAGCCCTCCTTGCCCTGGCCTTCTCATCTGGGTGCCAGTTCCTGTCTGCTCATCACGTGGCCACAGAAAACGGATGACCAGATAAGGCAACTTTGCTTGGAAAGGTTCCTGGTCACGGTGACGGGCACGGCTGGTGCTGCCAGGCCTCTGGGCTGCCAGCGTCCTCTGCCTCCCACGCCCTGGCAGCACAGAGTCCCATTCATCCAGGCAGCAGGTCAGGGCCGTGTGAATGTCACACTCGGCTCCTGGAGAAAGGGCAGAGGTTTTCTTCCACACGGGGGAAAAATAAAGCAGTCTTCAGTTTAGGAGCTTTGCTGGTTTCCTAGAATTCTGGGGTCATCATTTGTCCCTGATTCTGGGCTCTTGGTCAGGAGGGTGATGGGCCAGGATGCAGTGGGCTTTAGTCTCACTCTTTGTCTTGATGGTACATTTTGTTCGAAGCATTGTTTTGAAGTGTATCTCACTATGTTGCCCAGGCTGGTGTCTAAACCTGTTAGCTCAAGTGACCCCAGAGACAAAATGATGGGTTCAGTTTTTGTCCCTTCTTGTTCCTTCCTAGTGCCTCCATCCCCAGAGTGGCCTTGCTCAGCCAGGCAGGCAGTGTGCTGTCCTGCAGGTGAGCTGCATCCTCTAGAAGGCAGGGTGGGATCCCACTCCTCCTCCTGGCCATCCCCTCCAGTCTGACCTCACTTCCCTGCTGAGTGGGCCCCAGCTCCTATCATCACTTGAGGTCTCCCCTCAAAAACCACTAAGTGTCACTCAGCAGGACTCTCCCTCAGATGCATCCCTGACCAGTGTGGAGAAAGAGTTCAATAGATGTTAGACGAATGAATAAATGAGTGATGGGATATATTGACAATTTGTAGCTTTAAATTTTGGAAAAACTAAATGATTTTATTTTTTCCAACCTTTGCTAAAAGGCAAATTATTCATGTCTATTATAATATAGGGGCTCCTATGGTCATAGTGTTTTAAATAACAAAGATGTCTCACAGTGTGGTGATTACATTGCTTTACAATGAATCAATTAATGGTAAAGGCTTGTGACTTTGTGCATGTGTGTATGATTTGTCTTTATTCCAGGATAACTGCACACCCTTCCTTCTAAAGAATAGGTGGGAGGAAGTGGCTCATGAAGGGACATTTATCATGCACTTTGTCTTGGTTACTTTTCTCTCATTGCTGAGACAAAAACTGGATGCCCAAAATTTGGGAAGGAAAGGTTTATTTCTTACAGTTTTGGAGGCTGGTTCCAAGGCAAGGAGGCATGGCATAGGGAGAGCTGTTCATGGTGGCTCAAGCAGCAAGAGTGAACAGGACAAGAGCAAAAAGCAGGCCTCCTTCCCACCCTCACATTTGTGTCAGCTCTGCCCTGGGTGGGTGCAACACTCACACCACCAATCTGAGTGCTACACAATGAACCAATCACAAACGCTCGATTCAGCTGCCTCCACAATTGCATGAGGCTTGGGGGGACCATCTGAACACAAGCCATGACACACTTCAACCTCCAGGCAGGCCCATGACACTGTACCATGAGCAATGTGAAATGGAGGAATGGCCGGCTGGGAGTCAACAGTCCAGTCAGGAAATCTACACTAATGTTGTCCAACTGAACAAACAAGCCAAGGAAATACAGAAGGTGCCCAACTACCATCAGAAACTGGTGCTATAAAGTCCAAATGGTGGAGAAACTGAGGACCCAAAACGTAGGTCTAATTTGATTTTCCAAACACCAGACAACCAAGGGCAATAGTCAGCCTACTGAGTGAAATCTGACTTTTGAAATCTTCCCACTGAGCTACCCTCTCGGATAGTGTCCAAGACTGCCTCCGTTCAGGCTGAGGCAATGGAGAGCTGAAGAGCAGGCTGGGTGTGGCCTGGCTGGCAGCCTGGTTTCCCGTGCTTGGCCTTTGGGGTTAGTCCTGGCTCTGAGTCCCGGACTGCTGCCAGCATTGAGCTGGAAACAAGTTTCTCAGTGTCCTTCTCTGTCACGGGGAGGCTGCACATACCTTTCCATCTGCTTTGCCTTGACCATGGCAGCTGCACGCCAGCATTTTCCAGATTTCAAAACTAAGCCACTTCCATCTCATGCCATTTTTAATCTTTTCTGTCTGCTTAGCCAGGTCAAGTTTAATTTTTCAGTGTCTCTTTACAAGCTGGGTAGTAGCTGTACTACTGTTGGAGTCTAAGGCAGGACGATCGTAAGTTCAAGGTCAGCCTAGAAAATGTCGTGAGACCCTGTTTTTAACAAGGGTGGATGCTGGTTCAGTCCCCAGCGTCACACACACACGCACACACACACACACACAAATCTGTTTTTAAAAAATCAATGCAAATCATTATTTACTTTAAAAAAGCAATTCTAGTGATTTCTGAATCTCATTTCTCTTCACATTACAGTCAGTTCCAGGTCTTGTGTAATTTCCTGCCAGCAAAGGATGAGAACCCAGGAGGCTGGGAGTCAAGAACATTTATGAGGGGTGTGTGCTGCTGAGCCTCTGCTCCAAGTGGAGTCCTGACATTTACACAGATGCCTGACTTTAGTCGAGACCTCGTCCAAGAACATCGTGAGCTCAGGCCTGCTGGTTGCATTCCAGGACCCTGACACCGCAGGAGCCTCCCAGGCGGCCGCGGGGAGAGCACCACATACTTCCCTGACCTTTCCCAGATTGCAGCCTGGGCGATGAAGGAGAGAAAAAGAGGAGCTGGGCCTCAGACCACCGTGGGTTTCTATCTAGTATGTCCCATCTTAGAGCTTGGATAGACTTCTTAGAATTCCCATGTCTTCCAAGATTTAATAGAATGTGGAAATCTAGTGTCTGGTGAGTGGCACTTGATCAAAGGCGCTCATCACTTGGTCAATGGGATGTGGACAGGGCCATGGATGGAGTGGGGTTTTGGGGTACCCAGCACCCCACCACAACTGACCCATGTTTTGTCCTTGTTTGTAGTGTTGACAAAAACACAACTGCATAACCAACATTCAGGACAATGAAAACAACCAGAGAGTATATGTAGTACCTTTTTATTTAGCCTTAAACATGTGCTTTGGGGATAGTTTATTAAATATGACCTTTTCAAAATTAGTTCTCACACTATATACAGTGATCTTTGTGCAAACATATTTTGACTGTGAGCTTCCTGCTCCCCCTTTTGAGTTAATAATTTACAAACTGACATCACAATAAAAACCCAGCTACTTCATTTACTGGGTTGGAGACTATAATTTTCAAACATGGTAGGTACGGAGCTAGAATAAGGGAATGCTATGAAGGGCTAATTCAAGCCAGCATAAGTAGTGTGTCTATCAAAAAAGAATGATCACCAGGCCTTACTTTCCAGCAGAAAACATATGTCTCATGATGTTACGAAATAGTATTAAGCAACCACACACACTTTCAATTACTGTTTCACCTTCATTTAAAAGTATTTACACTCAGTCAAACCCAGAAAAGTCAAACTCAAAGGGACTCTGGACTGCCAAGGAATGTTATAAAGATAATCTGGCATCAGGGGCTTAGACACAGGGCATCAGGGGCTTCCTGACTCTCCTCGATGGCCCTGGCCAGGGCTGCGACTGGAAGTTGTGGCAGGTCAGCACCGTCTGCCTCAAGCTGCACTCTGGGCACAAAAACAACACTTGAGTCCCAGCCAGGCCGCGGGATTCCCATCAGGTAGTTCTTCAGGGACAAAGTCTATAGAGGGGACTGAGCCTGGAAAACATAGTTCTTTTTCCCTCTCTGGGAAGAGAAAAAGCTGGCTGAAGGAAAAAAGAAGCCCCCAAGTATAAAAACTGAGGGTTTCAATGGATGTCAAAACTCATGGTGTAACAGAATTTTAAAATTATAATTACAGCCACAAGTTTTTTTATATATTTGGTACCTGAAAAGAAACTGTGACCTTTTTAAAATTTATTTTTGTTCCTATATCATGTTATGGAATAATATTAAGCCACCAAATACACAGATAAACTCCTTAATTACAGTATGCAGGAGAGTATTTGGGACCAAAATTTTTAGATTTTTTTTACATTATTACTGAAGACTTTGATGAGAAGTTAAAGAATGAAAGCTTATCAGAGAACAAACTGGAAAAAATGTCTAATCATTTGAGATGCACAAATGATTTCCCTTTCCATGGGCATTACCACCCATGGATACAAGCTCCCTACCATAACTCTCTGGACCCATGGTTTGTACCCAATGTAATGATTCTCACCCTGAAAACACTGTCTTTACAAAGCATTCTTCCTGTATTGCCAGTTAAGAATAAAATATCCCGACATCATTGACCTCTAGACGTTGGTGTGGAACAGCAGCGACTCTCTGGAGCTGTTTGTTTGCAGCTCTCTCTCGGAGCCCACTGTGCCCCATGGCCCTTGCGGAGCCATCTTGATTCCACCCACTTGCTCCCTCTGCGGTGGAGCAGGCATGTGCCTGGGTCAGGGTGGGGTGGGATGTGCCACAGTGAAGGAGGTTGGGACCTGCTAATTAGTCAGAAGACATCAGGCTGGGAGGAAGAGGATACACAGACTGGCAACACTGATCTGATCTTCTGTGACCTTTCAGTGCTTAAGGGATCTGAAAAGTGCAGATAGGCAAGGATTTTGCAGCTCCCTGCTCCACCCTGGGGTTCCCAAGGTCTCAGAGGTGCATTTGAGCTCCTCCTCCTCGGTGGCCAAGGGCTCGGCTCTGCAAGTTAAAAACTGCTCATCAACATGTACTACAATAGCTCTGATTTCACATAAATAATTGCAAACTTGATTAAAGTGAATAATTATTATTCTAGGTTAATTTTTTCCATTCAAGCATTTATATTCCATCTATTTTGAACAGTTAATTGATTAGGAAAAAAAAAAAAACAGGCACCTCCAGACACTTCGCAAGAGCAGTGACTTTTTGAAACATCGTACAAACTGCAGAGGCAAATGAAGGACGGTGACATGCGGTGAAGTCCTCATGGGGCTGTTTTCTTCAAGTCTCTAATCTGTTTAATCAAGTAGTTCTTCTCATCCGTGAACTGCTCGTCGTCTGTCCTGTCCTTTTGGAAGCTGCTCAGAAACTCAATGAGTTTGGGTTGATTTTTTAACAGAATCTCCACAATAGGCTGCGTTTTGTGAGGACTGGCCACAAATACCTGGAACATTAGAAGCAATAATAAAGATGAGGAGAGCACACCCCCAGGACCCCGAGCCCCTGCTTGTTCTGAGTGCTCTGTTGAATGTGGGGGAGCCTCCCCCAGCACGCTCGGTGGTCACCTTGCAGCTGTCTTCGGAGCTCACCAGGAGCACATCAGAGCCATTTGGACACATTTTTGATTCTATTTTCATTTGGAATGTTTATTTTAATTATGAACCTTTCAAACAAAATAATGAAACAGGCACAAATATAATCACTACACAAACTGAACCAATTTTGACATTTTGTGTCAAATCTCTTCTTAAGGAAATAAAACATGACAGATGGAGCCAAACCCTTGCCTTCCACCCCTCCAACCCCACTTCCAGCAGTGAGTTTCCATCACCAACTACATTTTGACCAGTTTCCTCCTACCAAATATGTCTATAAACATGAACAACTTACAGAATTTGACGTATGTATCTTGTTTTACAATGTATCTTTTGAACAGGGAATACACTTAAATGAATAGTGTCCTCTCACTTTGGGGGTCACCACTGGCACTGTTTTCTTGGATATATTGGCAGCTGTCGACCTTCCCCACCCCATTCCAGCTCAGCAGGGCAGGTCTGGAATTGTGTTTTCACAAAGTTCCACAAAGAGTCTAAAGCATAATCCTGGTGGAAATCACAATCCTGCACTAGTACCAGTTTAGCTCTAGGCTCCCAGTGCAGCTCAGTGGAAGAACACTCGCCTAGCGCGGGTCCTGCTTCCCAGACCACAAGCAGCATCACTGTGAAAGACAGCAGCCGCTACAATCACAGAACTGCAGGATGGCTTGGTGAACTTTAAGGTCGGAACACAAATCGAAGGGGCCCTGACCCTATAGAGCTCTCTGCTGCATGTCCTGGGCTCCTGACTCCTCCACAGAGCCAGGGCTTCCCAGCAGCACCCTGCCAGTGTCACGGCTTGGTTACTATGGGGCAGCGGGAGTTACGAAGTTCTGCCACTCCGGCAAGTGCAGGCCAGGAGAAAACCCTGCCAGAATATTAAGGACCAATGAAGGGGGAATAAAAGGAAACAAAGGCACGCGAAGCTGGAGGTAACATGAGATTCAGGTGTGGGGCAGGCGGGCTCATGGCGTGGGGCCGTGTGAGAGGGCACGTGAGCCACGGGGAGAACTTTTACAAACGGAGGCAACAAGAGAGTTCCGGGAATCTGGAATTACACTAATAGAAGTCCCACTACGGGCAGTGACTGGCTGCTGTCCCACAGGAGCCCGCGGGGGATGAAGGGTACGGCACGGCAGGTTCTCAGGTAAGTGACAGTGCTCAAATCCCACTTCTCGGCCAGGTGTGGTGGCACGTGACTGTAATTCCAGCACTCAAGAAAGTGAGGTAGGAGGATCGCTGTGAGTTCAAGATCAGCCTGGGCTACACAGAGTTCAAGGCCAGGCTGAACTACATAGAAAGTCTCTGTCTCAAAAAAACTCCCAGTCCTGTTTATTGGCAGTGTCCACAAAGCCTTCTTAATAGTTTCATCCGGAATAAGAGAGCCTCTGCCTGCAGTGTGAGGAAGTGCCCTGAGCATGCATGCACAGGGGAGTCTTCTGATGACCCCCTGTGGGCCCCGCAGAGTGGGGACTTGTGACTGCCGAGGCGATGTGGCTGACCGTGGCTTAGGGCTCAGTCACTGCCCCATCACCCTTGTCCCGGTCGGTTGTCTCCATGACCTTGCACCACCTATATGTAGCCCCGCTAGCTGGTTATTTTTACTTAGTGGGATCAGCACTTCACACTCATCAGAACACTAATCCACACAACACCCTGAGGGGTGATGACTACTTCCCCGTTTGATAAATAAGGAAACTGAGGTTTAATCCAGGGAAGAAACTTGACTGCCGGGCCCCCTCCGACTGAACCACAGACTGAGGCGCGTGGCCTGGATTCACACTTCAGTGCTCCCACTTAAGAGTGGTATGGCCCTGCCGTACTCCTTGACCTCTCTGCACCCCAGTGTCTTCATCTGGAAAATGGTAAGAACGGCACTCGTGTGTCCTGAGGTCACTGGGAGGTTTGGTGGGAATATGACATGAACCGTCATGGACACTGGAAGAGAGCTCAGCACTGGGGCTGGTCAGTGGGGACAGCAGGGGGGTCAGTGCCGCTCCAGGCACACACAACTGGTGAGACCAAGCTGACATCAGACCCAGGGTGCTTGTGTGCACTCGTCAGAACATAAAACAGAACACTTTGCTAGGTAAGGTTCAAAACTGGACGCCAAACCCCACAAATCTCTCATATTCAACTCATTTGGCTAACTCATTTCTGAGTTTAAATATGACACATTAATTCTTGATGTTTCTGTTCTTTCCATCAAAGGCCGTGGGAATTTTTCCCTCAGTGAGTGTTAAGGAGTGCTGAGCACTGTCTGCACACAGAAATACAAGGATGGGGATGTAGCTCACTGCTTAGCTAACATTCAGGAAGCCCTGGGTTCAGTACTGAAAAAGGAAAATTAAAATTTTAGTGTATCAAAGGATGCTTGGTAGAATAAAAAGAAAAACAAATTGGAGAAAAAATTTTAAATTACATATCCCAGTAGTGCCATGTATGTAGAATATGTAAAGAACCCTTATAACCCAATAAAAAATAAACAATCCATTTAAAAGACAAAGGACTTGAACAGACATTTCTTCAAAGATATGCAAATGGCCAATAAGCACATGAAAAACCACTCCAAATTATTAGGGAAGTGCAAATCAAAATCACAATGTGACATCCTTTTCCCGCTCCCAGGATGGGTACAATCAAGTAAAACATAATAACAAGTGTTGGGGCCAAAGAGCAGTTGGAACCCTGAACTTTGAAGGAAGGAAGGTGCGATGGAGCTTCTTCAGTGGAAAACGGTTTGGTATTTCCTCAGTACGTTAAATGTTGGATTACCACATCGTAAATTGGATTCCTACAAATGGAAAATGCGTGTTCAAACAAAAACTTACACACTAATATTCAACATAGCACTCCTCATACTAGTCCAAAGTGGAAGCAGCCTAAGTACCAGCCAGCTGATGAACAGCTACCCACACAGCACTGAGGGATGCCCCGGTGCCCTCCGTGTTGGCAGGAAGGAGGCGTGAGGGCTCAGCCCGCAACACGGATTTGATCCACCTATAAAGAGACCCGGGACAGGCGAATCAACAGAACTACAAAACAGATCGGTGGCGGCCAGCGGGTGGGGCAGGGAAAAATGGGGAGGGATTGCTTGCCGAGTACAGGCTTTGCTTTCTGGGTGCTGAAATGTCCCAGAAATAGACAGTGGTGATGGCTGCGCAACATTGTGAATATGCTGACAGTCACTGGATCAGAATACTTTAAATGGTTCATGTGGTGAATGGCAATGTTTTACTACAGCAAATTAAAACTGTTACAACAAAAGTTACTCTGGGTTTGTTTACAACATTACACAGAATGTCTGATGTTTCTATAATACCTATTTGTATGTCAGGAAATCATATCAGGAAACCAAACTGCCTCTCTTCTGATAACTATTTGTTTATAATGGAGTCACTGTGAAGTTTTAGCTAAAACTCATCTGGCATTTTGTGGTAACTACATAAAAAAACAGTTTTTATTTCTAGAAAAAAATAAAATATATGTGAAATTTGCTGACAGGCATCAATTGGATTCATTCCACTGAACCCAAACCCTATGCCATAAACCTAGGAAAAACGTTGTTTATTCTCAAATGTTAAATTCTTCCTTATTTTCGGTTTTGAAAGCTCTTGACCTCTGCTGCTTCTGAAGCTGGTTACTGGCAGCAGGCGGCTGTGACAGATGCGTGAGTCCCGGGCAGCTGCGGTGGACCACTGACCCGGAGGGGCCACTTCTAACTGGGGCGGCGGGGACCGACGCTTTTGACTGGGGGGTTCGGAACAGCTTCTTGGGTCCTCTCTGCTGTCCTCATTTTTCTCAAAGCGGGCCCAAAGCTGTTAAACAGGGCAGCTGCCTGGGAGGTCCCTTCAGAAGGCCAGTGTCCCTCGGCTTATACAACAGGTCTCAGACACGTAATTTACGGCATCTCAAGCACGAGAAAAAGGTAAATACCATGGCCACAACTCAAATATTTTTAGTTTCCTGAACCAAAAATATGAGTTTCTTTCCATTTGAAACTGGAATGATTCCTATGAAAAACAGAAGTCTATGCTTTCATTCATTAATGTCATTCAAATTCTCCTTTATCAAGAGCAGTTCGATCCAGATAAGGTAGTGGAGGGTCTGTCCCCTGCTCTGCAGGCCTAATTTGCAGAGGTGCACACTGAACGCCTGGCACGCGTGTTCTTATCAAACTAGTACACAGAATACTGTGATCAGTACTTGTAGGCACTGATCAGGCAAACTTTTTTTCTCATTTAAGAAAGCAGAACCAGAACCCTACGCCTGCGAGTGAGCTTGCTGCTAAGTCCTGCTGCTCCCACGTCGGAACTGGACTGAGCCTCACCGCACAGCAAAGAAGAAACCGAGCCTGGAGGGAAGCAAAGCAGGGGGCCGAGGCCGCGGGTCCAGCATTCACACATTCTGGAAACCAGCCGCTAGCCCTGCCCCACGCCTGTCTCCCCAGGCTGCCACTCCTACAGTCACTCTGAGGACGCAGTGACACATGTGGGAAATAGAGAAATAAAACACAAAGAAGAAAGCAAAAAGTCCCCACGGGCTGAGGAGCAGCTCAGCACGCGCGTGTGGAGCCCAGAGTTCCATGCTAGCACCGACACAGTTTTATTCAATCAGTATAAAAAGTAAAGTACAAACACCAAGCCACCTAACTCCTCCGCCCAAAGAAAACCACCTTGCTGAAGTCTTCGAGCGCTGTTTTCTGTGTGCACAGACATCCACAGACACGTCTTAAACAAAACTGAGCTAGCATTCCACACACACAGGCTTGTCGCCTGATCTTTAGCTTAATAATATGTTTCACACAATCACTACGTGAGACGGCTTGAGAGATGGCACCAGAGTCACCGAGTCCTCGCCACGCACTGGGCCGTGTCACACAGATCGTGTGTATGGCACGCTTCTGTCCTTAAGCCGGCTTCACTGGCCCACTCTCCAGCTGAGGCCCACGCAGCTGAGGTGAGACTCTGGCCGCTGCAGGAGCTGCAGGGCCCGTGCCCAGAGGCCTGCTTGGCACTCTACCAGCGCCCACGGCAGAGTCCCTCAGCGCCAGGCTCTCCCGGAGGAGGGCAGTTCCCTTGGGCAGACAGATCACAGCTGGTACTGTTTCAGGGGAAGGAAGGGGTAAAGAGTCGGGTAAAACTGTAACGACACCTTCTCATCTGCAAAACTTTAAGTAAACCAGCAGGTCAAGGAAACAGGGATCTGTTTTGGGTTTTCTTTGTACAGTTTTGTTTTGTTTCGTTGAAGCCAAACATGTGGTGGGTGTTTGGAAACTTCCTTAATAATATGATATACATAAGTCAAGGTTTGTAGGCCATTTTGTTGGTAGAATTAATCTTCTGATGACCTGTATTTCATAGGAGTTTTAAAGGTTTTAAAAAATAGCTTTATTAAGATATATAATTTACATGCATAGAATTCACCAATTTAAACTGTACATTTCAACGGCTTTTAGTATATTTAAGGTTGTGCATCACTATAGTCAACTTTGGGACACTTGTATTACCCCCAAAAGAAGCCCTGACCCCACTAGCAGTCACCCCTTCCACCCTGTACCTCCCCGTCGCAAACCACTCCTCTCCTTTATGCCTCTAGAGATTCGCCCATTTTAGGCCTTTCGTATTGATGAAGTCTTTGCCACTGACCTCCTTCAGTTAGCAGGATTTCAGGGTTCACCCACATCTTAGTAGGTATAAGTACTTCACCCCCTTTAATCACTAAAACTTTACTGGATTTTTGGTTTTGTTTTGTTTTGCTTTGTGTTAATGACAATATGTATTTACTTTTTTTTTATTTTAAAAAAGCAAAACGAAAAAAAGGCTACAAATGATACAGAATTTCAAAAAATAGAGGAAAATTAACACTAGTTAATGAATGGCATATTGCTTCCTTAGAAGTAGTTGCTTAGGTTATAAGATTGAGGTATAAAAATGAGCAAACAATGAAAGCACAAACTGTTCTTTTTGTGGAACTGAGATCAGCAGTATAGTTACCTATCTTGTGTATCTGTACAGCCACACACAGACATGCCTACCTGTGTACATATACTCTTTTCCCTTAAAAGCAGTAAAGGAGATAATCCTTGTAAATGTTTAGCAAGAGTCTACCAGAGTGATTGCTCATTAATTTATGGTTGTCATTTCCTTCGAAAGGCATCACCAACATCACACATAACAAAAACTGCTTCCGCAAACATCTGCTGTCAGAGTTTAACCCAGTAACTGGGCTGGGGATGTGAGTCAGTGGCACGGGCCATGCTCAGGCGTGTGCGAGGGCCGGGTCTGACCCCTGCTAATACCCCACCACACACACATCCCTAACTACTTTACGGTTTAATTCCGGCTTAAAAGACATTCTTTGCTTGTTATTATTTGCAAATATAATCTTTTTTGCAATTATATTCTATAATAAAATTTACTTATCCTTCATTATATTGTTAGAGTACAGGAACCAATACAAAATGAGAAAAATCTAAATAATATTATATAATATTGAGTAATACATTACAAAAATGAAATTATCCTTTAACCAAAGAGTACACTTATTGCTCCTAAAAATTCTATTAAAAAGGTGAACCTATGTTTCTAACACTTTATTACAATCAACTGTAGAAAGAACAGACTTTCAACTGAAAGGGACCTTTAGAATGTAGCTCATTCACCTCCCACATATAATTTCTCATGTCTTCCCAGACATGGATTTTTTTCCAGAGGAAAGGTGATTGATTCTAGGACCATTTTCAATAACTTACTCGCAAAAGCCCATCTTTAGGAAATGTACTTTATTTATAGCATATTTCCTCAGCGTCGGTGTTGGGTCTGCTCTGGCTCAGGTCGTGGCATTCCACCAAAAGTGCTCTGCCGTGGTAACAGGGATCTCCCCAGCTGCCGGGTGCACCACGGTGCGCCACAGCCTCCCCAGCCACCCCTGCTCTCCTGGTTTCCTATCTGCACCCATCACACTCTCAGCTCATTTTTGCCTTTCACAGGTCTGTGACACACAGTTTTCATCCCTGAGCTCTGAGCTCCTCTTACTCTGATTTTCTTATATAATTTATAAATAGTGTGGCAAGTCCGAATCCTTCTGGGAGCGCAGTGTCCAGGGCTCTCTGGCTCTGCTGGCAGGTTTTTTGGTTTTGCTTTTATGGTTCTGGGGATTGAGCGTAGGGCTCCTGCACTAGGCCATGTACCCAGCCCCAGCCTTCCTGTTATGTTTCTGAGATGGGGCCTCACTAAATTGCTTTGTAAGTGTCCCAGGCTGAGCTTGAAACTCTGTCCTCCTGCCTCAGCCTCCTTGAGTTACAGGCAGTTTTACTGGTGGCACAAAGCTATTTTCCTCATTCCCTGGGCCTTGGATGGAAATGATTCCCAGACCCAAAACATCGGTGTTTCTGAAAGGAGTACGCAGGAGGAGACTGCCTACATACACCTCCAACCCCCCAAAGTTCTGGCTATTCAACACTGTGGTGCTTGTCAGGAAGACTGGCAGTGTTTAAGGCCGTGTTATTACCCAGGCCCCTGCTCTTGTCTGGATACCCGAGAACTGATACGATGTGCATCTCTCCTGCTCAGTGTTACCACAGTTAGCAAAGTAGAGGAAAAATGCCCAGTTAGGCATGGATTGCAGATTAACAATATTTTTTTGCACCTTTTACAGAGGGTGTTTGGGAAAAAAAAACTATTAATAAAGAACTGTGAAAAAATTCTAGGACTCAGCTGTTACTTTTTTCTAAATAGCAAAATATTATTTTTGGGAAGCAAACAATCAAGTTCTTAATCTGAGTGGAAGGAACAGGGCAAGCTCAATTTATACACGTTCAAGTAAACAAGCAGTGAACTATTTTAAATGCACCTCCTGTGATCCATTTCTGCTCTTCTGAGGGTAAAAGCAGGTTATTTCTATTTTTCCACACACCAAGCCCTCCTTAAAACTGCATTTTTGAACAAGATTATAAAAAGCTTGTTTTCGTCTTGGGAGACAGAGCACCCTTGTGTGGAGCTGGGTGATGTGACACAGGACCTTGCTGCGCTCCTGATGCAGTCAGCAGGGTCTTGGGAAAGTAGCAGCGTTTCTCAGTCCCGCGGTGTTCTACTGCTGCTTATCCATTTGTTTAAATTTTATGAAATAATTCTAACACAGATAAGAATATAGAGAGAAATATATAAGACTACATATTGCTACCATCGGCTCTAACATCTGGAAACTTTTAAATACAAATATAATGGCTTCTGGATGGCTCACATTATTCACTCTCCTCTGGGTAAAAACGTGTATGTATGAATCCACATACACTGTTGCCTTGTGTATTTTTAAACTTTGAATAAGTTATGTCCTTTTAACATTTGCTTATTCTACTAAATGAAATTTTTTGAGATTTAGCCAGATCCTAATATCTGGCAGGGTAGATTCCCCTTGTTCTCAAAATTGCCATAGTTAATTGTACAATTTGGATATAGCTGCGAAAGGTCCCTCAAGGGCATAGGAAAATGTCTGTAGTAATTAGGAGTGTGGGATTACAGCTGAGTAGGTGGTAACGTGCCCAGCACTCAGAGGCTGAGGCAGAAGGATCACTGTAAATTTGAGGCCAGCCTGGGCTACATACTGAGTTCAAGGGTAGCCTGAACTACATAGTGAGACCATGTCTTAAAAAAAAAAGATACGAGATTACAGATAGTTTCCTCTCATCTGCCTCAAGGATCTATAAGCTCACATTTCTAGAAAGTGATTTTACCACCCCGTCAAAGAAAGATATTTTAAAAAAGACCCAAATTTCTAAGCCAGTAATGAATGAGAGCAAGGGTACTGGGTGTATCCTCAGGCTTTCCCTGCAGGTTCAGAGAGAGGGAGCCTCAGAAAGCAAGAGGCTGACACTTGGGGCTCTAAATTTCTGACTGCTTTGTTAATCTGCAGGAAACAGCTCTAACTAAGACTTCTCAGTGAGAAAAAGGTCAGCCTCTTACGAAAGAAAGAAATCCTGAGCTCCAGAGCATAGTGTCAGGGAGCTCAGTGTCTTTACAGTTCATTAGATCCCCCCACCTCATCTGATTGATTTCTAGGGAACTGAAGAGCTTTCACTGGAAGAAACAGACCTGATTTATTTTTTAGTGCATTGTAAATTGAGGTTGATTGTTTAATCTTATCTCAAGTACTAGGTGGGTAGCCCTCTGACAATAGGGCAGGTAGTTGTGGACAAGAAATTTCTCTGAATTTCTAATCCATATGTAATAGCCAGAGAGAAATTTGCCTAACTACTAGACTGAAGGAATAGTATAGTGTGACTAGATTAGCAGGAGAATGTCATCAATAAATAAATATTTTTAGAAAAAAATATTTAAAGATATAAATTAGCAAATCATTTAGAACCAAGAATTCATTACCATGGTTCTAAAATTTCATCTAAATCATGCAAAACAAAAAGAACACTGATTTCATTTTCTCTCTATGAAGGAGAGAAAAAAGCAGGCAAGTGTCACTTAAAACTGAAAAAACAAAATAACAACAATAAACAGACACGAGATTATTTTCTCAGGCTGCTCTTTACCTTAAAGACATGAAAGGCTTCAAATTGAATGTTGGGACTCTTATCTCGAAGAAGGTTCATCATCAGCTTTAGGTTCTCTGGCTTGCTGATGTACTTGGTCATAATGGTGAAGTTGTGGCGGTCCAGGATCAGCTCGCCTAGCAGCTACAAGCAAAAACAAAGTGACAGCTGTGACGGGCCTCCCGGTTCCCTTAGTCAAGGACATTTCACTAAAGACTAAAATATGTAAAATGGTGCTGTGAAAGATGACAGTCATTAAGCACATCTTGGAACACAGACACAGAGCTGGGCATGGTGGTACCGGCCTGTAATTCCAGATTGAGGCGGGAGAATTACACCTTTGAGCGCAGGCTGGGAGCCAGCAAATTAGTGAGACCTTGTCTCAGAAGAAAACAATAAAAAAGGGCCGGGAATGCAGCTCAGTGCAGAGGACCTGAGCCCAATTACCAGTAGCCCCCCACACACGTGTACACACACATGTACACACACACGTATACACACGTACACACACACAAAGGCACAAAAGCAGCAGTTGTTATTTCACATGGTTTTGCTAACATGAGGGTTTAAAGCATTTTTTCCAGCCAGTCATTGTTATAGCTCACCAAGACATAGAAATAAATTAACTTTCACCACTCAGTTTAATTATAGTGCTTTTCAACCATGTATTGTGCCTCAGGAATAACACAATTGATTCTACCGTTATCCTTTTGTTCCCAACAAATGTGCTATAGGAGCTTACTGGGAACAGCTTTATGTTAACTGACTCTCACCTTGCCTTGGACTTTTATATAAAATCTGGTATAAAGCCAGGAAAAAAAATCAGTGAATTGATATCTCAGCTTTTCAAGTGTATCAAGTTTTTATGAAAAAGTAAAGCAAAACATTTTACGGTGACAAATATAAATAAAGATCCCCTAAATGTAATATTACTGTAAAACACAATTAAAGTGCCCAAAATGAAAAGAGCTGAAGACTTTGGTCCAGAAGCACGGCTGCGGCCACGCCGCTCTGCGCTCAGAGCTTTGGTCCAGAAGTAATTCCGGAAACTCCAGCAGCCGGGCGGTGCAGGGTCCCAGCATGTGATTTCCTGCGGAAGACCACTTCCTGCTGCTCTCTATGCACTAGGCCTTCCCTGGAAACCTCAGGATGATAGCACATTGCATGCTGTTCACAGGAATCCTGGGTGGGAGGGAAATGCACACGGAGTGGGGGTGGAGGCTGCTCTGTCACAACAGAAGCCAGGTGTGCGCGTAGGGGCACATGTGTGTGCACACGCGCACTTCAATGTGTGGCTGCCAGAAGGACCCCCTTTGCCCAGGATGCATCTTCTGTCTAACAGGTAAGAGCTGCACACCTGCAGGCTTAGTGCGCTGATCTAATGTCTGCTGCATGTGAAGAGGGATGGCCACGCGGATACTAGCTGGCCATTAGCTACTGTCACAGGGACAGAATAGCAACAATGCAATGAAGTCGTTAATCTTCACTCTCCCCAACCTCCCAGGAATCCACAGAGTTAACTTCACACTCTCCGGGAAACTTTCCTGCCTTTGTCTGATTCTTACCTCCTGCCTGTCTGCGTGTAAACCACCCCACCCTCCGGTCTGGCTCAGAGGAGCAGTTCGGGAGGCCTCTTCTCTCCCACCAAGTCACTCGAGGCTCCTGCTCAGTGTGCTTATTCGTTTCCATGCATACTCACTTGGTCTCGCAGTGCAGCGGTCCGTACAGCTGCCTAACGGTGTGGCTCCCGTGCCTGCGTGACGTGTGCACATGTCCCTGGGGTGCGCCATACCAACAGAGCTCTCCCCTTCACACAAGGTGGAGAAGCAAAGCACAGCTTCATTATTACAGAAGCGTTACACTGTGAGCGCTCCGTGAAACAGACACTTCAAAGATACAAAAGTTCACCTCTGCATGCAGCCAGCAGCTACAGTGCACGGCCTAGTAGGGTCTCGGGCAACCTGCTCGGCCAAGCAAGTGGCACACACCTGTAATCCCAGCATTCAGGAGGCCGAGGCAGGAGGGCTGCTGTGAGTTTGAAGCCAGCCTGAACTACACAGTGAGACTCTATCCCCAAAAGCTCCCAATAACAACCACCAGCACCAGCACCAGCACCAGCACCAGCACCACCTGTCTCCTATACAGACCTCACAGCACCATCCCTCTGCGTTCTCCAGAGCTCACCTAAATTACTTGGTAATTTGTTCTTTTTTTCAAAGCAAACTGCCTTTATCTGGACAATATGACTTCTTTCATCTCTCTGACAAGCGAATGGTAGTTCAGAGGAAAGTTCCTAAATCAAACTCCTGGGAATCAGGGAGGTTGGAGGACTAAGCCCCAGACATGACAGTAACGGGTGGTTCCTGAGCTCCAGCATGCTACACTGTCAAGCTGGCGAGACAATGTTTTGTTCTATTTTTCTACCACGAAAGAGCAGACATATCACATATAGACATAACAAAAGGTTCTGGCCAAAAAATTTCATTTCTTTGAAAATTCATCCTTAAAATTTATAAACATATATATACATACATACAAATGATATTTGTTGAGGTTACATTCATAAGTTCAGTTCAGATGAAGTAACTTCAATTCTTACGGAAAGTATATGGAAAAATTTGCATTTTACTTATCTTATGTATCCCATAGTAACAGCTAAACCTGGCAGCAAACGGAATGCAGAGGTTTTTTTAAGCTTACTGTTTTAATGAAATTGCTCAAAGCCAAGCATTCCACCAACCTTCTTTTGAATTATAATCTTTCTTGCTAGTAATTAAATGCCAGGCTTCTGAGTAAGATCAAAAATAAATTCTTACACATGTCACATGAGGGAAAGAAATTTCCCTGTTAATTACTTTTTATTGACACCAGGATTCTAAGGACCTAAAGACCAACATAGTCTGGAAAATTTAAAATGTGATTAACAAAAGCCAGCAGGTAGCACAAATTTTGGAATCAGAAAATAGCATAGTTACTGTAATGAAAACAGCATGGTACTGGCCAGACCTGAGAAACAGTTGAACAGATTAGAAGACGCAGAAACAACTCCAAACACACTCAGCCACCTTATCTTTGACGAGGACAGCCTCTTTAATAAATGGTGCTAGAAAAATGTTTTCCATACTCCAAAGGTTTAAACTAGATCCATATCTCTCACCATGCACTAAAATAAAATCAAAATGGATCACAGTTTGAAATATTAAAACAGAAACACAATCTACTGGAAGATAGAATAGAACTCGAAGACATTGGTGTAGGCAAAGACTTCACAAACAAACCTCTAGCACGAAGAATAAAAAACTAGGGATCTCATCTTATTAAAAAGCTTTTGCACAGCAAAAGAAAGTACCAACAGAGTAAAGAGACAACCCACATTGTGAGAAAAAATTTATGTCAGCTGTCCCTCAAACAAAGGATTACTATCTAAAATATATAAAGAACTCAAAAAAATTATAACCCCAAGTTTAAAAACCCAATCCAAAAATAGGCATCTGAAATGAACAGATACTTCTCAGATGAAGAAGCAGAAATGGCAGATAAATATATAAAAAATGTACAACATCACTGGTCATTTGAGAAATCCAAATTAAAACAACATTGAGATTCCAAATACCTTCCTCCAGAAAGAATGGCTATTACCAAGAAATCACCCAGTAACAAATGCGGGCAGCGCTGTGGAGTGAACCTTCTCCACTGTTGGTGGGAGTGTGCACTGGTGCAACCGCTGTGGACATTAGTGTGGAGATTCCTCGAAAACCAGCGCTAGAGGTTCCATTTGGCTCAGATTGGACACATATATGTAACTCTGAGTGGTTTTTCTGGTGTGAAAAACTGACAGTGTAAATAAGGACCACAGTGTAAAATAGATACTGGGAAGTGGGAAGAAAACGTTCAAATGAGGACGTGAGCAAAGGGAAGAAGTGCCATGCAAAAACAAGAGCAGAAGGAAAAAGCAGAAACAAAGCGTTTGTAAACAAACATGGGAAGGCAGGAGAATGGGGGGAAGAGAAACAAGATAGGCCATGTGCAAGTACAAATTTTCGATGATGGATATGATCGTACGTATGTCCAGAATGTACCAATAATTTTTTAAATAAAAAAGGAAAATATCAGAAGTCTTAAGCTACTTTATTATATATATTATTTATTATTATAATATTTAACTTCTCTTAGGTCCTACAATTGCAGAAAATCTAGGTTATAAAATTTTACAGATTTCATAAATGCAAGCGTGGTTCTGTGGGAACAGAATACTTTGCTACCATAGATCTAATTTTCTTTGCTTTGCTTTCTTTCTCTTTCTTTCTTTCTTTCTTTCTTTCTTTCTTTCTTTCTTTCTTTCTTTCTTTCTTTTGGTACTGGGTATTGAACCCATGATCTCGTGCTAGCCAGGCAGTGCTCACGCCACTGAGCTAACCCAGCCCTGTACATCTAATTTTCAAAAGGAAAAGCCAAAATGGCAGCAGTGGAGCTTCCTAAAACATTGTTAGATCAAAGAAAAGAGTACACAAAATGTAATGAGCTCCGTGTTTGTATGTGGGCCATTTTGCCCACATCTCCCTTTCTGTCCCCTTGAACAGAACTGACACAAGATCGTTTTGGCACCGTCTCCGTCCGTAGTATAGTTCTCCCAAAAGCCAGCTCTTTATGAAGTTTTAAAGCCCTGTTAACTTCTTACACATGCTTTATCTGGCTTCTGACAGATGCTCTTGCTTTTCGCTGTCTGACCAGCGCTCAGCTTTACCATGTTGCAAACAAATGTGTGAGACGTTTGACTGAGGATTTGACCCGGAAAGGCAGCCAGTGCCGTAGGTCTGGCTCCAACTGCAAGCTGCAGGAACCACTTGCATTCTCTTTCTCGTCTCAAGTGCTTACTTAGCATATATCAATCCCTGCCCAAGGTACAACTCTGGGGATGATGAGTAGGAATATTTGCTTGTAAGTTTTAATTCGAGTTGTTTAATGAACTGTGGCTCTGAGCGGGCAGCACAGCAGAGTGCTTTATCCACAAGCCCAGCCCAGGTGCTGCTGGCGGAGACTGAGACTCTGCCCAACCCACTTCACAAGGGAAGGGGCACAGGACCTCGTGGGCCCAAAGACATCTGACCAAAGATCGGGGGCCACCGGGACTCGGGGAGGGCAGGAGGAGGGCTGGGGAGGGAGACATCCGCTGAAAACAAACTACAAGCTCTGTCAGCTGCGTGAGGAGGGCGCTAGAGAAAGTCAATCCCAGAAAATGTGTTGTGTTCCGCCTGCCTCTGCTGAAGGCGGTACCGGCATGAATTCTGGAGACCGCAGCCCTCAGTGCTTCCTCCTCCCAACGTGGCTCAGTTACCTCACTTCCCCCAAATCTCTCCCCTCCGGCCCAGCATCTGGAAGACGCACCCTGCAAAAGGAAGTCAGCCACTTCTTACGTGCTGGCCCTTTAGACCACTGTCGCCTCTGTGCACTGCTCCAGAGCTGCAGCCCTGCAGCCCAGGTGAGCTGCCTGGCTCTGGCTGCGGCCCTGGACCGCTCAGGCACACGGCTGGGCCCCTCAGCAAGCTCTCTGTGAGCGGAGGGTGGGGTGGCAGGCACAGGGCAGCACAGTGCGCAGCTGTGTCCTCACAGGCTCCTGCACCCCGGATTTCTTCTCCACACGGTCACCTCGCGGGAGTCCCTGCCTCAGTGAGGACTGTGGCTGACAGGCTGGAGCTGACCTGCCCAGTGACAAGGGAAGCTGCACCTGTGGGGGGAAACTACAGCGGAAGGCAGGTCTCCACAGACAGAGCACGTGTAAAAACACTGAGCCAAGCACTCTGAGTGCGGTGGCCCACGCTGGCGATCTCAGCACGGAAAGGCTGAAGCAGGACTGTCACAAGTTCAAGGTCAGCCAGCCTCACAATGGGCTCAAGGCCAGGCTGAAATATATAGTGAGATCCTATCTCTAAAAAAAAGTAGCACGAAACATTTAATTTATTGCCTTAGCTTAAAGCTGTATTCAATATTTAGAAACAAATCCATTGTCCTGTGAGTGTCATTATCATGACATAAAAATAAGACAAGCATGCTGGTCATGAGTCGGAACATCTCACAAACTGCTAGATTAAAAACAGTCAGTTTAATTGTCTGCCAGAAACACTTCTGAATGTCTGAGTGTGATGTGCAGGGCAGAGTTGTGGCTCTGGCCCACGCCCAGTGCCCAGCCCCTGCAGATGCCGTGTCCTGGCCCCTTCCACAGGGTGGTGGGCACACGGGACCTTGCTCCTTTGGGCTCCCAGCATTGCCACATCATTTCCCAGGAGACGTGATTTCAAACGGCAAATGTGGTTTCGCACACTCATGCACACTCATGCACACAGACACACACAATCTTATTCAGAATCATTTTAGTTTTTCACAAATTTAGGCCTCAGCTCAAAAGCCAACTGATTGGAAAGGACCTGCAGACACAACAGCCCATGCAGTTCCCCAAATAAGACCTAGCTGGAAAATAACCAGCCTTGAAAACTAGAGATCAAAACTGCCAGGCCTGTCTCTGCCTTCCAAAAAAAGCTTGAGGTAAGATGTTTCCATTGTTTTACTATAAAGTAAAGTTATATCATAAAACATACTGCTCCGGTGATGGAAAAGGATACTTCCATTTTTCTGTTTACCTGCTGACTGGTAGACATTAATCCCTAGGAAGGTAGCGATTTACAGGGACCCTCACTTCAGCAATTCAAGATTACCTTTAAAGATTGTCTCTTCGTCACATAATTCTCAGACTGAAGCAATTTCTCATAGTCTTCAAAGATCTAAAGAAAAGAAATATCATTGTGGGAGCAGGAGGACACTCCGAGAGGGCTGGCAGCTCTCACTGTTCCTCGGAAGTCACGGCTGGCAGCTCTGTCACCGACTTAGGAGGTCACTGTCACCACCCACCTCTGCCAAGACGGGTGGGAAGCAGGGACCCGGGAGACAGGAGGCCACGCCTCTACTGATTCAGTTAGAAATTGAATAGGAAAATGGCATCATTGTGATCCTCCCAAACCATCCTGATGAGCATCTAGTAAAACTGCAACAGTGACTCACTCTGTGCCATCTTTACAGAAATCTGTTTTGCAGCCACGGGTCCGCAAACACCTTGGGAAAATATTAAATGTGCTTAGGGCTTCACTTGGCAACTCACAGAGTCCCACCGCCAAGTTCATAGTGTGACCAGATGAGGTCTGAGGGGACGGTGGCTGCCTGGTGGCTGCCTAACCCCACTGGCGCCTCTGGAGCCCTTTTGCACTCAGAGAAGCCACAGACACTGGAACATGGAGCCCGCTGTGTCCTAGTGTGGGCATCAGTCCTGACAGAGGCCTTCAGCTCACCACCGAGGGCAAACGGGGAAACTCTGCACCTGCCTTCTGCCTCGGCTGGGGGCGCTGCGCAGAGACCACCGCAGCGGGGAGCAGGGCAGGATGAGGACAAGGGAGTCCAGGAGGCGGAGAGTGGACAGTCACCGCCGAGAGCCAGGAAGAGTGGCCGTGTGCACCTGCTGAGGCCAGCCAGGACTGCACAGCTGCATACTAGTGACCAAAAATGAAGAGGACAGTTCTACTCCCTGCTCTGGGAGGCTGAGGCAGGACGATCATTTGAGTGCCTCAATTTGAGGCCACAGCAGGCAACACAGCAAGACCCCATTTCAGAAAAAGAAAAGTTAAAAAAAGAAAAACCTCATTAAAATCTCTTTACAGTCTGTTATATGAATGACATTCATTCTGATTTAAGGGGGATTTTGTGGACTGTTAAATTTATCAGACAAATAATAAACAGATAAATTTTCATTGTACTATAAAATGCAAATACATTTGGTCACATCTCCATGTCTGAGACCTCGTCTCAAAACAATAAAAGTGAAAATGAGCAAATGAGTGTCTGGGGAGGGGGGAGCTTAGGGAAAGCTTCCTTGAAAAGTGGTATTTTTGCCAAATGCCTACAGGATAAGTTGGATTCACCTTAAAGAAGGGGACTGGAAGACACTGGTTTTCTAATAGTAAATAATACTAATTATCAACCAAGTAAAATCTGGTCAATTTAAAATGTGCTCCAACTGGGGTTACCTACTGCCCCCAAGAGCAACACGGTCATTCTTTCCTTCTTGTAGTGCTGGGCCTTGTGTGTCTAGGTAGGCAAGTGCGCTACCACTGAGCCACACTCCCAGCTTCTGGGTTTCCTTTGTGTTTGTTTGAGACAGGGTCTTGCTATGTAGTTGAGGCTTGTCTTGAACTCACTATGTAGCCCGGGCTGGCCTTGAATTTACAGCAGTCTCCCTGCCTGCACCTCCCCTGTGGCAGGATTGCAGGTGTGTGTCCCCAAACCCATCTCAGGTGTTCTTTACTCAAGACCAAAGTAAGCAGCTGGTGGTCACTTATTGGTTCTCCACAGCACAAAAGGAGGAGATGTGAAGAATGACAAAATCTTGAGCTGTGATCCACCTCAGTTTTCCATAAAGCAGCCACAGTGTGGTGCAGTACGGTCGGCTTCACTTACAGATAGCAGAGAGGGGAAATCCCTCACAGATCTAAGAGAGGGAGAAGAGGAAGACAGGCACTTTTCTTAAAAATGATTTCTACTTACGGTGTCATAATTTTGTTCTAAGAAGTCCGCTACCAACGCTTTGTGTCTGGTTAGTAAATCCTGAAAGAGAACAACCAATGAAACAATTATTATGGCAAGAAGATTTTATAGTGTTACAAATTTTAAAGTAGGTCTTTTCTTCTGAACTTTGCTAAATCAATCAATCTTATTTATTGATTTTTGGTATCGAGACTCAAACTCAGGCCTCAGGCGTGCTGGGCAGGTGCTGTCCCTCTGAGCCATGTCCCCGACCCTGCATCCATTCATCTGAAACAACGCAAAAAGACATTTTCATTATATCATAAAATTATTTCCTTTCCTCCTTTAGTGTATGATGTGAAATTCAGAGCTGGGCATGGCGGCTCATGCCTGTAATCGCAGCACCCAAGAGGCCGAGACAGGGAGGGTTGTTGTGAGTTCGAGGCTAGCCTGGGCTTCAGAACGAGTTCAATGCCAGCCTGGGCACATAGTGAGATCCTGTCTTAAAAGGAGAAAAAAGAAAAAAAACCAACCAAAAGTTGAAATATGTTTCTTTCAGATTAACAATAACAAAAACACCTAATGTTAAATCTTGTGTTTTAAATTCATATTATTGTTAGTTTTACAAAAGAATTTAACTTGTGAAGCAAATGGCACCTAAGAAATGAGAAGTGTGTTTCTTCAGGCCATTCACTCTATACTGTGATTATGATATAAAAAGTTTTAATAAAGTTTGCAGAGATCTCCCAATGTCCTCAATGACTAATCCTTTTTTATTTCCTAATTTTCAAATATGATCTTGCTATGTTGCCACAGCTGGTCTGGAGCTGTGAGGTCAAGGGAGCCTCCTGCCTCTGCTTCCATGTGCTGCAATTCTAGGCGGATTGCCACAGCACCTGGTTTTATTCTATTTTTTTTCCTTTCCTTTCCTTTTTTTGGGGGTAAGGGTATGGCACTGGCTTCAAACGAGAATTCTGAATGGCTTAAAACATTATCTCACAAGTGAATTTCTTTCCTAACCCTTTTCTTTTTTCTTTCTTTCTGTCTGTTTTTTTTAAAACAGGGTCTCGCTCTGTGGTCCAAGCTGGTCTTGAACTGGCTTATGTAGCCTAAGCGAGTCTCAAACTCAGTGATCCTCCTGCCTCAGACTCCTGAGTGCTGGGATAACAGGGGTGTGCCACCTCTAACCATTTTCAAATGGGGTTCTAGGACGTGGGGAAACACGAGAATGACACTGAAGGTGTCGTGTGTGTGTCCCGCCCTCTGGTAAATGAGTTGTGACGGGCTGGGGAGAAACAACCCTGTCAGGTCAACACAGACGGAGAACATGCGTCACAGCGTAAAGGGACTTGGCATGATCTTCAGCTCACGCCTAAATTACATCCTTATTTTACTTTAATATTGAAAGAAAACACAGAATATCTAATCCCTTTTATACGTTTAGAGGTGCTGTGCAGGTGCTGTGCAGAATTTAATTAAAAACAAGAATTTTAAAGTTTTCCAAAATAAAGTCTTACACTTTAATACATATTTAATGAAAATTCCCAAAAGCTCATAGAAGACACAGAATACTTTCATAGAGGAAAGGCAGCAGCAGGCATGGTAAAAGGCACTTCTATTTTTATTTTTTAAGAGGTATAAAGGAATTTAAAGTGCACATCAAATAAAACAGGCGCAGGCCCTTGAGAAGTGTGTCACAGCTGGGAGCTGGGAATACTTTTGTGTGTTTCTAGAGGTGGAGCTCTGCTGAATTTGTTGGTTTCCCACAGAAAGGTATCAGCCCACTCTGCATGAGAGAGGACGGCCTGCCTCACAGGAGAAACCAGGCCGAGTCTGGTTTTCTTTTCTTTTGTTTTTTATTTTTATTTTTTTTTTTGAGATGAGTGATCTAAGATATTTTGCTTACAATGTTTTTTGAAGTCTTTGTTTCTCTGTCTTAAGGTTCAGTTAGTTTATCAAGCAAGCTAATTTACGGGCTTGCAGTATCTCTGCGGCAGTCGGGCACACTGGGCCTGGAATCACAGCAGCATGCACAAGCCCAGCGAGCACAGACCCACCCGCCTTGGGTAACTTCCTACCATTCCTACCTAACAGTCTGAAGTGTCCTTCTGTCCTGTCACATTTCCCATGCTGAGACTCTGACCTCTGTTCTTAGGGAGGCAGAGATCTGCCTTCTCTGGCTGCTTCTCAGGGGCACTGACTCTGCCTAACCAGGAGCAAAAGTTTCACTCTCATTGATCAAAAGGAGGCGCAGAAATCAGCTTCTGCTGACGGGGGAACCATCAATTTTTAATGTTCTGGAAGAGAAGACAAGGACGGTTTCAAGTCAGTGATGCTTAAGCTTTATTTTATAACTATGTTAAATAAGCAAGGGCCAAACATCAAAGATAGAATACTGGCGAATAAAGGCCCAGGATGTTGCCACTTATTGCTGTTTTAATAACAAGGAAAAGTAAAATAGTTAAGCCATTTTACACTAATTCTTTATGCTATCCTGAAATATGTGTACACTATGGAATCATTTGGGTTGTTTTCTCAGAGCTGAGGATTCAAACTCGGGCCTCACGTGTTAGGAGAGCACTCTACACTGAGCTGTACCCTCAGCCCTTGACGTGGGTCTCACATGTCCCCAGAACCACGTACTGAAGGTTTGGTCACCAAGGAGTGTTCCACATAACCCCAGACCGAAGCACAGGCAGCGTCTCTTTTTGCCTCTGTTGCCCAAGAGCCTGATATATCAGCACAGTGTGCAGCGAGCAAAGGCTGTGTCATCCCAGCACCATCTCTCCATCTGTGACCTTCAATATACGTAGTTGCTTTTCCCTCGCCATGCAGTGTATGCTTTGCAATTGTTTGCTTGCCATGCAAAAGAACTTGGAACCCAGGGGTTGGTCCACCACGTGAAGCTGTGAGTCAAAACAAATTCTAGGTTGTTTATCTCAGGCATTTTGTCACAGATACAGAAAGCTAATACGTGGCCCAATGGAGCTAATTAGGTTATTGTTATCACACAATGTGTGTGTTGAGAAGATAAAATCTACTCTTATTAATTTCCAGAATACAGCTAGCATGGTGGTGCACACCTGTAATCCCAGCACCTGGGAGTCTGAAGCAGGAGGATTTCTGTGAGTTGGAGGCCAGTCTGAGCTATGTGGTGAGTTCAAGGTCAGCCTGAACTACAAAGCAAGACTCTATCTCGAAACAACAACAATAACCAAAAACATGTTATTAATTATAGTCATCAGGTTGTACAATAAATCTTTTGAACTTATTCCTTCATGCAAGCTAAAACTGTGCATTTGCTAACCAACACCTCCTCATTCTGACAACCACTATGCTACTCGCTGCTTCTGACACAGACTTTTTCAGATTCTACCTGTAAGTGAGACCATGAGGTGGTTGTCTTTCCATGCCTAGCTTATTTTGCTTAACATTGTGTCCCCAAGTTCATATATATTGTCATCAATGATAGGATTTCCTTCTTTTTATGGCTGAATAGTATTCAGTGTGTGTGTATTTAATTCATTCATCTGCCAGTGGACATTAGTTTAATTCCATACTTTGGCTTTATTGTGAATAATGCTGCAATGGTCACTGATTAGTTTTCTTTGGCGTGGGACTGCTGAATAACATGGTCATTGTATTTTACATTTTTGAGGAACTACTATACTATTTTCCATGATAGCAGATTAATTTATATTTCAACCAACAGTGTACAAAGTTTCCTTTTTTCCATATCCTTTCTAACCAGCACTTCCTATCTTTTTTTAGGGTACCGAGGGTTGAATCCAGGGTGTTCTACCACTGAGCGACATCCCCAGACCTTTTTATCTTAAAGGCCTGGCCAGGCATGGTGGCGTACTCCTGTAATCCCACCACTTGGGAGGCTGAGGCATGAGGATCCCAAGTCCAAGCCTAGTCTGGCCAATTTAGTGAGTCCCTGTCTCAAAAAAGGGCTCGAGATGTAACTCAGTGCAAAGGGCCTGAGTTCAGTCCCCAGGACGGGGTGGGGGATGCGTGTGCACTGGGAACAGAGTCTCACTCTATATTGCCTGGCTGGCCTTGAACGTGGTCCCAACTAGCTTGGTTTATATTTGTGTGCCACCACACCCTGTTCATCTTTTTCTATAATACCCACTGTAACAGACGTGAGGAGATGCCTAGTGATCTTACAATTTTCAAGTTAAAAAACAGTGAGAGTAGCTCTTAATTTCCTACTTCTAGTCATCATGCAACTTGAGTAGTCACTGTGAAGATCTCTGAAAATGTGGTACTTCTTTCTCAGTGAAACAGAACACTCAGAACTGTTCTAATGGACCCAGAGCCTTAAAATGGAGAAACCTCGCCAGGGTTCCATTTCTAGCATGGCTGAAGTCTTGATTCAAATTAGGTCCTATATCAGGAGATCCTTGAGAGAGTAAAGTAGTTCCATGGCAGGTCAGGGCTTCCCTAAAAGGATTTGGGATGCTAGGTTTTCATCTCCCCCCCCCCCCCCAGTAGTATCAGGGATTTTCCAAGTTGACTCAGGATAGAAGTGCCTCTTGTTACAGCTGCCGCAGACACCATGGGCTGTGGCACCTGTGGGAATTCCACATTTACTAAGGGCTGTCCGCCCTGAGAGTAAGAACCCAGCCCGTCCCCAGCTCCAGCAGAGCACGGCGGACCACTGCTGCCTGGGGAGACTGTTGAACAGTGTTATCCCAAAGAAAGAGAAGTCGAGAGTTCTGTGAGAGCCAGAACCTTCCAATTCCAAAGGCAAAAAGAAGAAAGAAAGAAAGAAAGATTTTAAAATTCAACAATAGAAGCATATAATACCACGGGGTTGAATTCCAGCAGTGTTTACATGTGGGTACAGCCAATAAATGACAGGCTGTTTGTCTCATTCACACATATCGACACGTGAATGTATACGTAAGATATACACATAGATACACTCTCAAGTTTATGTACATAGTAGGTTTATGCACAAAATCATGCAATATATATACAAATGTACATACACATATACACATACTACTAGACAAATACAACTTGCACTTTACTGTGTATCATTTAATTGAGTGGAGGGAAAATGTACACAAACACTAGCTAGGATCCTGCCCAGGAAAGAAAAAGCAGAAACTGCAAATAAAAGAAGGTCAAACCTGATAGAGCTTAACACTGAAGAAGTACATTTGAGGCAGTGCGTTTGCTTCCAGCTCCTAATAGCTGTCCTCTGCCAGGCGAAGTCACACACAGTGTAAGCACTGTCCCAAGACAATCCGACACTGATACTTTTAAAGGATTCTGGCTGGGAAACTCCCGCAGAGGGCGAGAGGCAGTGGAGGGGTGTGAGGCCAGCCGGCAGCAGCTGCCGGGTGAAGGGTCAGCCTTAGGGAGTGCCACGCGCAGGCCCGTGTCAGCGCCAGTCTTCACAGGAAACTAAAAGCGGGGGTTAGGGTCTTAATTTCACAGAAATGAAACTTGAAGGTTAACTCATTTCTCCGTGACATATGGTTAATCAGATGACACAGTAAGGGAGAGAGAATTTAAGCCACTTCAATATGTAGATCCTTGGAGGGATGAAAGATGATGACTGTAAAGAATCTTTTTAGTGAAAGAACTATGTAGACAATACTGTGGAAATCAGTTATATAAACTAACAATGTGAAAACATTAATAATTAAATTGGGTCATGGACATCCTAGAGCAAAGCAAAAGAGGTAAGCCTAAAGTTAAAAACAGCAACAAAAACCAAAACAAACAAAACCAACCAGCTAAGCCAAACCCTCTAAGGTCAGGTAATTAAAAAAAAAGACCTATGGCCACTTACATTAACCACAAAGTAAAATAAATTTTTATGAGTATTTTATATTTTAATGAAAAATAAAAGTATAAACCTAATATCATAGTTTATTTCAGTCATTCAATATTATTGAAAATTAAATTGAATACATGATAGCAAGAATTACTGATTGATTGATTGATTGATTGGTACTGGGGATTGAACCCAAGGCCTTACGCATGCTGGCATACTCTCTACCACAGAGCTATACCCCTAGCCTTAAGTACCCTTTATTCTAACAACTGTTGAAAGAAATTTTGGAGATACCTTCAAAAATACATATTATTGAGTATTTTCTTTCCCTCTCCATTAGGGTTTGCTTTGTGTTTGTAGTTATGTGGTCTTACTTAGAGTTCTTTAATAAACGAACTAACTTGTTTCTATGACAGCAATGAACCATCTGATAAAAATGAAGAAGACACGGAACTGTGGTATCTATTAGGAAACATCTCCTTAGTTTTTAAAGCCCAGGCATTTTGCTAGAAAAACATGGAACAACTGCTGTACTAAGTGTCCCGCTTCGTGTTCTTTGTGCCGGAGGCCGCCCCATCAGCTTTGCGTGCACCCTTCGGGGAGTCCGCTGGCGTCCATGGGAGGCCGAGCTGTCTGTGAATCAGACTGGGTGCTGGGATTTCCCTGCACACTGTGTCCTTGGGATTCGTCCCCAGGGCTTCCCACTCTTTCCCGTCTTTCCTCATGCTTTGCCCTTCTTGTAAGTTTTCTTGCTCCTTACTCTGCCTTTGTCTCCCTCACACCCTCCTTATTAATGCAGAGATCAGGTAACATGACTACAGACTGTCACAACTGCCCTCCTGCCTGCCAGGTGACCCGGGACACGGCCCGAGCCCTACAGAACAAACCAGTCATCAACATGGTCAGCTGCGTGTTCTGTGCCAGCCACTGATGCCTGAACTGCTTCTTGACTAATAATTCAACATACTAACAGTTTTTGAGAAAACCAAGCTATACTCTGGTTGGCCACAGCCCACCTTTATCTAACTTAGCATATTAAAGCCTGTCTCTTACCTGGGGCTGCAGGCAGCCCCCAGCTTTCCAGCCGCCCAAGACACACTTCTGTCCTTCATAAGTTACACTCAGTGGAATTGTGGATTTGTCTGCATCTTTCTTTGGTCTCTGGCAGCTTCCACCTCCGGCGGCTGATTCTCACAGACTCTCTCTCCGGCCCTCTTCCCACCTCTCTCCACCCTCCTGCCCACTGCTTCCCTGGATCTTCCCTCTGCTCCCGACACTCTCTTCCACCTTTTCACAGAGTCAAGGCACCTTCTCAGGTGCAGGGAAGCGTTTAGTTGCTGATAACAGGCAGTTTTCCGCACTTCAAACCACCTTCTTCCACCCCCGGAGAGCTATTAAAAAGAACTAATCATTTCCCAGGTCAGAGACAACCTTCAAACTCTGTCCATTAAGTAATAACATTAGAGTACATATTCATATGAAGATATGAGCTATGTCAATACTGTTAAAGTATCTATTTAAGATAATACATAAAAACAGTCATTTCACCCAATAATTTTTAATTTCATATACTTATATTCTGAAAAAGGTAGAAGTATATTTGAATAATGTTAGTGGAATAATTACATTGCTAAAATGCTTTTAAAAAATAAATCTCAATATATGCTTACAGGTAAATTAATTTTATTAACTTCATAGTCAGTCTGAAAGCCTAGTTTTAGTTTTTAATACTTTTGGAATTCCTTTTCTGAAATGCCCTTCCAAGCCAGCTTGGTAGACTCTATAGAAAATCAAACTCTATTTTAGTCATCTTAAACATTTTTATTATGATAATTATTACCCAAAACAAAAACAGTTCTAGCTAAGTTGACCACCTGCCTATACACCAAGCTGGAAGTCTTTTTATTTTCAACACTTAATCTGCTCCCACAGATTTTTCACTATTGGAAAATGAACATGCCAAAACATTAATAACAATTTTAAGACATATTAAAGAATGTCACGATAATAAACACAAACAAGTTGTTTTCTAAAATAGAAATTGTGGGGTTAATATCACTCACTGGATGTGTAAGGTCTGGGAGTGTTGTTTGCAAATTATCTATGTCATTTTCTGATATGATTGCTGAACATTTTTTTGATGGTAAAACATACAGAAACAGAAAATGGAATGGTTACCAGGGACTAAAGGAAGAGAAATGGGTAGTTATTGTTTAATAGGTATAGATTTTTAACTTCGCAAGATAAAAAGGTTCTGGAGATTGAATGCTCAGAAATGTGTTAAGCCTATTAAATAACATACTAAAAACTACTAACTTTTATAAGTATGACTCTATACAGCGATGGTAAACCTTTTAGAGCTTTCAATGATGACAAACAGCCCGCTGAAGCACATGTATAGGCTCAATCCCAAAGTACTGCGCCATGATTACAATTTTTAAAAAATTAAGTTAGATGAAATAAATGTATTTCTCATGTAATGACAAATAGATCACAGATGATAAATATACAGGTTATTATGATTATCTATATTATTAAAATAAAAATATACTTTATATATATACATATATATAAAACTAGTCATACTATCAAAATGCCAATATACTGTTTTTATTTCATCCTGTGGAAATTTTAAAATTCTATTGATAAAACAGTGAGATGTTCTTCATATTCCACGGTGTAATTCTGCCTCTTTCCCCTGCCCAGGTTCCTCTCCCTGGAGACAACTTCTGTTGCTATCATCCTTCCATATGCACCTCAAGGGAAGCGTACACTCTTCAGTCTGTTTTTAACCTGGATGATAGCATGGTATGCACAAAGCCCTACATGTTCCTTTTGTCATTTAACTGCATATATCAGAATTATTTTTATGTGAGCAAGTACGAAGTATTTTTAGTCGTTTTTGCATAATGTGACAGATTGGCCTCATAGGCTGTATTCTATTTATTGATGTCTCATGATGCACACCATATATAATTGGCAATGATCAGGCTGAAGAAACAGAATATTTTGTTTTGTAAGATGAACTTTTAAGGGGGCTGGGAATTTAGCTCAGTGGCATAAGCACCTGCCTGGTCAAGCACAAGGTCCTGAGTTCGATCCCCGATACCAAAAAAAAGAACTTTTAAAATAACATTAAATTGCAGGGTTAGGATGTAGCATGTAGGTCTTCAGGTACAATCCACAGTACCGGGGGAAAAATCAAATAAATTGTCTTTTCAGGGGCCGCACTTGAAACAATCTAGCACATTCTGAAAAAAAAATGTTTTTACCTTAAAAGTAGCAAAGGCATCTGAAGCAATATCAAATGTTGACAATTCCACATACGTGAAGAAATCTCTGAACTGATCAGAAAAGAGAATGATTTTGGCGAGCGGCTCGTGCCGGATGCATTCTCTCAGCATAATCCCACAACGTAAGGCGATCTGGGGGGCTTCGTACCTACAGCGTGAATAAGAGACAGAGACTTCGTTATTCCGTCAACAAAATAATATCAGTGATCCTACAAGAACCATTTCAGGACTGCTCCTAACGGAAACACAGGTATCATCTGCCGGGTTCAGTCAAGCATTAGTCATCCCTGACCCCTGCCAGCCCGCTCCGGATGCTGTGATGCCGCAGTAGACAGCAAGCTCGCTGCTGTGACAGTCCTCACACCTCAGCGAGACTGTGTCTGCTGGAGAAGAAGCGACAACGTAAAGACAATTGTGTGTGCTCAGAAGTGTGGGAACTGGGCAGCATTAGACAGCACGGCTACTTAATTGTGTGTGAGAATGACTATTTAAGTTTCACTGACTGAGGGGAGCAGGTGAAGCAATCCAGGCAACTGCATTGAAGGCTCCATGGCAGGAACTAGCTTGGTGGAATACACGCGGCCAGAGTGGTGTGATGCCAGGCAGGACCCCGCTGACCAAGACGAGTGGCCTGTCTCAGGTTAGGCCTCTGCAGGCCAACGCCGTAACTGACACACACTGCATAGTGACGATGGGGTGCTGCTAAAGATGTCACACCGAGGGATACACTTTCTGGAATGGCGGGGGAAATACTGTCAGTAATCAATAAAGCATTTAGGAGACTATAAAATAAACATTATTGGCCTACAGAAAGAGGAAGCGACTAAAATCTGTATTTATTAGTAATACACCTGTAGACGTCCTCCCTTGGCCCGACATCTAACGTTCCTGTTTATCTCCCATCACAGTCTCCGTTTCCCTGCATGATGTCATTTCCTCCACTGGAATCCCCTCAAATTTTCCACCAGGATTCCCATCTTTTAAGGGTTAGTTTAAATGCCGCCTGCCTGGAGTCTTTGGTCATTATCTACCTTTCAGAATTATTTCCCCTTCATTCACGCTCCTGCCACAGTTTGTCTATAATTTTACTTTGGCACTTTTGCTTTCCTCCATCTCCACCCCAGTCTTCAAAAAGTGTTCAACAACTTTTTTCAAAAAGTAGGCATACAATGAATTTAATCAACCTCAAACTCTGACTGAATTTTCTAATACCAGAAGACTCTAGTGAACTCAAATTCTGGCTTTTACAAAAGCTACATAATCTCTAGCCAACATTTCTAATTCAATTTCTGAACTGAGACTATCTATAAAAGTTTTCAACTATTGGGTAAAATTAGTTCTTTTTCCTTTGGTTAAATTTATTGGAACCATCTGTGACACACTGATGATTTATTCTTGAAAATCAAGAGAACATTTTTTAAAAAATAGTCCCCTGGCCAGCTGTAGCACACACCTATAATGCCAGCTACTTAGGAGGCTGAGATACAGGAGAACTGCAATTCGAGGCCAGTGTAAGCAAGTGAGACATGTCACCAAAAATAGTCTAGGGGTGTAGCTCAGTGATAGCATGCCTCTGGGTTGGAGTCCCCCGTACTGCAACTCCAAACCAAACCAACTCAAACCAATCTACCTCATCCCTCCTCTTGGGCAGAACACTTATCAATTCGTCCCAGTAGTTTGTCCCCAGTGGTAAAAGTGGAATTTTCTGAGATGACAATTGCTTAAAGTTAGGAATGCAATGGAATTAATACACAGGGAATGGATTTTCCTCAATATCGTCCACCAGACTTCTAATTCACATGTATTGTTTCAACCTGACTAGCCTCTAAAATACTTACTTTTGCTAGGTTATTGCTTACTACAGAAACAAGTGCTTCATAAATTAAGCCTCTCTTAATTCTACTAACACTAATATCCTTAGGTCTAGTAACGATCTCACCTAATCTTTTCTACTTATGGCTAAATCTTCTGATGACAGGACCATCACTAATCACTCTGTTTCCCATAACTAACCTATGGCGGGTTTCCAATAAAGGTTAATATGATGAATGCCAAATTGCTATTTTTTAGAATCAAATCTTCCTTCCTGATTTATAATTGGCTAATACAGGCTGGACTATAATTAACCTTACTGTACATGAATGATCACTCAAATAATGATAGTATATGAAAGGATTCCTTTTAAACTGAATGAAAACCAAAATGCAAGAGCAATTGTCTCAGCTAGCAATGAGCTATAGTAATCATTACATAGAAATCATTACATAGAATCATTACATAGAAAATGGTAGAAGCACGAGCTTGTAAAGAAAAAGCTTATAGAAAGAAAAAATGACTTTTGTTATTGTTGGGAGCAAACAATGTCAGATGCACTTCGACAATTTTTATAAACTGTCATTCTTCAAATACATAGCCTGCTCAATAGAGGCAAGAAAGTATGCTCTGAACTCAGGAACATTTGCTTACTTTAAAAATAATGAATTAACTTTGCCCACTCAACATGCCTAGAAACAGTAACAATACTGATGAGCACTGCTGGTGTCCAGATTGAAGTCTCTGAGAACCACGCCTCAGAAAAAAGAGCCAGGGTCCTTGGTAGAAATTCCGGGTCTGTGGCAGGAATGTACTAGTTGGACCTGGTATTTCCCAGTGCACTAGAAAGCAAAGAAGCTCTCACAAACTATTTTGGTGATGTCAAAAGACATTACTTAGAAGAGGCCAGACGTTCAGCTCAGCATTAAGAAGAAAAATGTGTGCAAATAAATGAGACGCATAGAGAAATCCACTAGTTATGGAGAGACAGCACGGGAAGGGGAGTAAAACTCACTGAATACCAGTGGGAGTTTCTAGACTAAGTTATTACTCTATAAATTGATATTTGAGCTGGGCGTGGAGGTGCACACCTGTAACTCCAGCACTCAGGAGGCCGAGGCAGGATCACTGTGAGTTTGAGGCCAGCCTGAGCTACATAGTGAGTTCAAGGCCAGCCCGAACTGCATAGTGAGACCCTGTCTCAAAAAGATAAAAAAAAAAAAAGATGATAATTGACAAGTATTTATTTTGTCTCTTTCATATGAAACCTATCTGGAGTAACTTAATAGTTATAGTGGATGAAGAAAATTTACCATGTATAAAATTACCAATAAATATGGCTGGGGATTTAGCTCAGCGGCATAAGCACCTGCCTTGCAAGCAGGCGGTTGTGAGTTCGATCCCCGGTACTGATAAAAATGAAAAAGCCAAAAAAAAAAAATTACTAATAAATAAACAAGAAATAACTGACTTTGAAAATGACCTCTTTTTGGACTCGGGGTTTAGCTCAGCAGCATAAGCACTTGCATAAGTGCAAGATTGTGAGTTCGATCCCCAGTATCAAAAAAAAAAAAAAAAAAAAAAGATTTAGGCACAAGAAAATTACCTTTTTGAAATCCCTAATGAAATGACTGAATGAGGCGAATGTTTATCAATGAATGATAAAACCATTAAATGTAAGGCTGATGGGAAATTTTATTTATTTAATTTTGGGGGGGCATTGAGAGAGAGTCTTGTGTGCAGCTCAGGAGGGCTTTGAACTCATTATGTAGCCGAGGCTGGCCTTGAACTCATGGCATTCCTGTTGCCTCAGTCTCCTGCTTATCCCCTTTCTGTAATACAATCTTTCCCACTGTGCCCAGTCTGGGAAACTATAATGAATTAGACTGTCAGGGCTACAGATTTAGCTCAGCGGCATCAGCACCTGCCGTGCAAGCAGGCAGTCCTGAGTTTGATCCCTAGTACTGATAAAAAATTAAAAAAAAAACACTCAATGAATTAGACTGTCACGAATGGGGCCCATGACAAAATCCTGACAATTCTAAAAGTATATTTCCTGGTGTGATGAAATATAAACTACATAGAACCATCTACAAAATGTTATCAACAGAAAAATTGAGTCTAAGTCTAATTTAAATATGAACTCTGAAAACACAGGGCAAAATGGACAAGCTAAATGATACTATGTGAAAGTAATGAGACAATTCCACAATGGAGGATACTGTAGAGAATAAATCATTCCATTTTTGACAAATCAGTAGCATACAAATGTGTATGCCTGTGCGTGTGCATGCATGCGTGCATGTGTGTGTGTGTGTGTGTGTGTGTGTGTGTAGTCACGTGTTGACCAAAATGAAAGGAACTTACGCTTTTTTTTCTAAAACTAACCATGGTGTAACAGTTGGGGGTAGACTGTCTCACTGCCTGTCCTGCCCTCAGGAAGATAACAATTTTCTCTCCCTTGACATCTAAATGGTCCTCGAATCTTCTCAAGGATACATTAATGGCAAAAACCTTGGTACTTAGTATCAGACTTGGATTGAAAGGGTGACTCTGTTACTTATAAGCTGTCTAAACTTGAGCAGTATCCTTATTCTCTTTCTATGTCTCTCCGTCTCTCCGCCTCTAAGTTTCAATTTCTGTAAAACGCTAAGAATAATACTTAGTCCACATGTGATGTCAGATGCTGTACCTGACACAGAGCAAGCACTCAGTAAGTGGTATCTACAAGACAGGACATGAAGGAATGGGTTAAAAAACAAAAATAAGGGGCTGGGGATTTAGCTCGCGGCATAAGCACCCGCCTTGCAAACAGGCAGTTGTGAGTTCGATCCCTGGTACCAATAAAAATGAAAAAGACAAAAAAAAAAAAAAATATAATCATTACAATAGAGAAGAAAACCAGAGGTGTAGTACCCAAATTGTTATCAGTGGTTTTGTTGGGAAGGATTATAGATTGAACTCTCTTTTTACATTAAACATTTCTAAAATGTTTGACTTTTAAAACAGTAAATATGTATTACTTTTTAATCAGAAAAAAATGAAAGGCTTTAAAAATATCTACCATCTTGATTCCTATGCTCACCATTTTTCTTGGACTTTCCCAAGCGGGAATTGCAGGGCCCTAGCCCTCGCTTAGAGGGTGATGGTGAACCTTCTGAGCTTTTGATGGTAACAGCCAGCTGCGGCATGTAGCCACAGGTTCACCACCACTGCTCAGCCGTTTTCCATTCTGTCACCAGAACTCACCCTGGGTGACTCTAGGCTGCCACAGAACGACGTCACCAGCTCCTCGGAAGGGCATGGAAGGCCCTTCCAAGTCTGGTCTCCGTCTCTCCAGCTTTACCCTCCTTCCCGCCTTTGACTCACCCTGGCATCCCGTCACTCAGGAATTCTTGCATTCTTGGAACACATAAATTATCTCACACACTGTCTGTCATATTGCGATGGGCTGAAATAGCAGTGAACACGGCGATTTTAGACAGCACGTGCTGAGGGTGGCAAAGCCTCTTGCTGACCAGACCATCTTTCCTCTACTGCCGCGTGGAAAATACACTTACTTAGTGACGGGCGTCCCATTTTGGGGTCTATGTATTATAGAAGTTTCGTATGCTCTGATAGACTATATTTCTTTTTTCAGAACTGAAAGATGTGATTCTTCAGAAGAAGTGTTACTTTGCATCAAAACCCAAAGTAATCACAGCATACTTTGTCTCAGTAAGCTAAGTGTGATTATTAACTAAATTGAAAACAGGGATAAAAGTACATCGTGAGGATGGGGAGGGAAGGAAATTATCAGTGGAAGTAAAAATAAAGTAAAAAAGATGTCTAAATTTGATAAACCAAAAAGTTAGTATAAGCCCATTATTTATAACACTGAGATAAACATGATAAAAAATGATGAACAAATACAAAGAAGAAAGTGGCTGCCTTGGAAGCTATTTCTTGTTGCTATATCAATGTTCAAACTGTGTTGTATGTTAATAAAACTGAGTGCTTACCAATCTACAAGAGGAAAGGGACACACAGGTGAGAGGACTGTATGGGACAGCAGGATCAAAAACAGGAGGACTAGAAAACAAGCCGTCACGGTGATTTGACATGGTGGGATGAAAACACAGGGTAGGGCTGGAAAACAGGCTTCTACCCCGAGCACTGCTGTACTCAGATTCTGGCCTTTAGATTGGGAGCAGCCTCAAAAATGTCTAAGAAACATCTGTAAAAGAGCAGACACTAAAAGTAACAATCAAAGATTCTATTGTCGAGCATCACTTCAGCTTTTGGCTCCTCCATTAAATGTACACAGCAATGTCTAGTTTCTCCCCACACAGAAGTGTGCCACTTTGGCAGATGCCAGCTACTAACACATCCTCTTACTTATTATTTGAGTTCTCAGAACCTGTGTGTGTGTGTGCGTGTGTGTGTGTGTGTGGTGTGTGTGCACATGTATAATGAGAGGACTGAATATCATGCAACTACATAGCTAGGAATAGTGCATCCTGGGAGACACACACAATATTCTAGTAGACAGAAATAGCAGAAAAGTAGAGGAAAGAGGTAGTAAATGCAATAAAACATTGAGAATCATAAAGGAGCTACAGCTTAAGTAACCTTAGAGACACAGCTGTGGAGGGCTGAGCTTACCTGTCCTGTGGCTCCAAAGTGAACTGACCATACTACTAACAGGCCAATGCTGTATGCTTTGTGTGTGTGTGTGGAATTAGGAATCCAACCCGGAATAAGCACTGTAGCAC